TGAAGCAGCGCAACTGATAATAAATCAGCATATTAGAATGATTTCTGAAGATCATGTGACACTGAAGACTGGAGTAATGATGCTGAAAATACAGCTGCGCATCACAGAAATAAATTACAGTTTAATGTATATTAAAATAGAAAAACTTTATTTTACATCATAATAATATTTCACAACATTACATTTTTCCTGTATTGTTGATCAAATAAATGCAGCCTTGATGAGCAGAAGAAACTCCTGTAAAAACATTCAAAATCATTCTGATCCCAAACTTTTGACCGGTAGTGTACATTAAATACTGAAGCACAGGTTAAGTAAAATATAATGAATATGTAATATAGTATAGTACATGTTTATCATAATGCTTCTCTCAAGAGTTATTTTTTCTATCTTTTTTACTGGTGTCTTTCTGCAGCTGAATCACAGATTTTAGTTAGTTCTGTTTCTATCAACACCTTCTGACGTTCATTCATGTTTATTGATTGAATTTCATTATAGAACTGACAGAATTTGAACGCTAAGACTTTGTTTCAAAAGTAACAAAGCTTGTTGAGATGACTGGGTTAGAGGTTATGTTCACACATCAACTAAAAACAGCACTGATCGATTCTCGTAATTTAAGAAAAATGTGAATCGCTTGCAATCAAGAAACCAGTGTTTTTAGCTGACTTACACTGTCTTCTGTGGTCCATCCGTCACTGGAGTACATGAACGCGCTGCTGGATTGATTGAGTTCAGCAGCAGAATCCACTCGTGGATCGTCCGGAGCCTGTCGTTTTCTCCTCCGGTTCTGGATCTCCTCAGCTCCGGGTTTGTGTGTTTTAGTGAAACTCTGTGAGGTGCGACCCTCAAATACAGAGCACAATAAACCAGCACCAATGGCTGTGTCCTTCCTCTCCTCTCGGCTTCTCAGATGCTGCTGGACTTCAGTATTAGAGGAGGATCTGTCTGTGTCTTTCACACCACGATCCCTGCTTTCAGAGGTGTTCAGATGATGACTGACGCCTGCGATCGTCTCGTGGTCTGGCTCCTCTATTTTGGCGCGGTATGGCGAGTCTTTGCTGTTCTGTGGGGACTGGTCCGTATCATCCTCGATCTTAATGTGCAGCGATCGTTCCTCTGGCTCAGCGCATGGATGTTTGGATGAAGAGTTGCCGCTGTAAGACTCTACTTTAATGATAACTGGAGCACCGTCTTCTGAGAGCAGGCCACTGCGCTCTTCACCTGGTTCTGTTTTAATAGAGACTGAGGACTGGTGTGCGCTCGGGTCTTCGGTTGATTTCTCGGTGCATACGGCGGGTACAGAAGCGGTCGGGCTGCTCACGCTGGGACTGACAAACATGGGCAGTTTTATTAACCTATATCCTCCAGGAAGTAACAATGTGGAAGCAGTTCCTGTTGACTCAGGAGCTTTTCCTGTCTGGTCGAGACCCACAGTCTTGCTCTCAGCAGAAGGTGGGCATATTCTGAAGGAAAACATGCCAGCTTTAGCAAGTAAACCGCCCTGTAGACCCGCAGCTGCAACAGTTCCAAAGCTAAAGCTGGTGTTTCCTTGCACTGCGTGGATTCTGGGTACGATGAATGGAGGGGGTTTAGATGAAGCCTTCTGTGAAGATGATGTGGGCATCTGAGCTGATTGTGGCTCCTGTTGAGCACCTCCTGTAGAGAAACCAGGTGAGAATGATTCATTTGATGTGTACGGCCGTATGATTTTCATGATGCAGAAAACACAGACAAAACAGCAAAATCCGGTCGAATTTACTGTATAATGCGGCTTGTTACAGAACTTGGCAATATTTGGATGAATAAATCAAAACTAGGGCTTGTAAAATGAATGAAATGGTGGTAAGTCACCAGGATTTTACCATTTCATTTCAGAAAACTATTGGCAGAAACGATAAAAAATAAAAGTTCCATTTAACTTGAAGAAATTATAACAGGTATATTAATATTGTGCAGTAGATAATAATAATAGAATAGCAAATATGGAGCATCAGACCAACTGTAGCAATGAGTAATTAAAACCATTTTAAGTTGATTTTAGACAAAATAACTGAAAAATCAGAAACACAACCACTGCTAATATGATTTATTGGCTTATCACTTTTTACCAATAGGTGGCGCTGTTATCAAATTGATGTGGTGTGTTCTGTGTGAGGTGATAATGGCACACACAGAGGTTGGTGTCAGTATGTCAAAGCTTTGCAGAGATACAGCCTCAGATGCAGTTTGGCATCATGCCTTAACTTTGTTGCGGTGCTATACAAAAGCAGTTCGGTCTATCAACACGAAATCCATAACTGTCTGAAGATGATCTGACTCAAATTTGGTGAAAATCAGACAAACGGTCTAGGAGGAGATTGGCGGACAGGAAGTTTGGCCGACTATGGCATAATTGGTATCTATGTTGTCGGCATGACCCAAGAAATATTTTGAGTTCCATTACAAAAGGCTAATGCAATCAAAAGTTATTAGCATTTTTCGAAATTCCTTTATACGTTTTGGCCACAAGGTGGCGCTGCCCCCAAACTTTTTAAGTACCATCAGGGCATGGTGCCAAAGACACGTACCGAGTTTCGTAAGGATACGCCAATGCGCTTGTAAAATATAGCATTTTATGATAAAATTCAAAATGGCTGACATGGGAAAATTGGGTATGGTTCGACTCGGCATGCTCCACCGAATCTAAAGAGACCAGGTTTTGTGATTTTTGGCCAAACCATTCAGAAGTTATAAGCTAAAATAGCCATTTTTCATATCTCCTGACCACTAGGTGGCGCTGCGACGAAACTGTGCAGGTAGCCTCAGGTCATGCTTGTTATAACACACACCAAGCTTGGTCTCAATACGCCAAACCGTTGCGGAGATACAGCCTCACATTTCCGTGCTCTTCGTCGAATTCGTTCATGCGTCATTCGAGAACAGTTTGACTAATCAACTTTATTTCTAGGGCTGCCCTCGACTAAAGATTTTTCTGATCGACTAGTCGTTTCTTTTGAGCATTAGTCGACTATTAGTCGCATGTATATTAATAAACCATATATATATATATATATATATATATATATATATATATATCATATTAATGAGCCTTTAATTGCCTATAGCCTAATAAGTGGTAGTGGATGCACCTGTATGCAGTTTCATATGGATTACATAATTGGAGAATATTTGTTTTCCATTTAAATTTGTTCATTTAAAAGTAGACATTTCACTCTCTATAGATATATTTCTCATGCAAGGCAAGTATACACAGAGTTTTGGAGTTTCGCGCTCAAGTTCACAGAGACAGAGACGGCAGAATGCGCACACTGTTTGCTTTCATTATTTTACAAAAGCGCAACATTTCGTTGTTATTCTGAGCGCACACAAATAAACGTAGAGTCTTTACAGATTCAAAAGATGTATTACTTTTATCTGTATGACCAAAGTATGAGCAAGTGAGCGCACCGGCGCCTCAGACACTCGAATAGCGCACATTTTTCTAGGTTAACATTAGATTTAGCGGCCAGGTAAAGTAGCTACTACATACATATTTCAGATGATAAGCCATATTTGAGGTTGATTATGATAGGCGAGCGTTTGATGTACTGTATTACCACACAGACCAGCTGTTAATAATCTGTCCGTCACGGACTGCGTGACTTTGCCTCTTCCTGTGGATTTATTTTTTCTGCGACTAATAAAATATTGGTTGACCAAGCCTCTTCTCGTCGACTAACAGTTAGTCAACTATTAGGGGGCAGCCCTATTTATTTCCACAACTTTTTGCCAGCATGATCTGAGCCAATTTTGGTGAAAATCAGACAAACAGTCTAGGACGAGTTTGAAAAAGCAGTTTTTTTCGAACTATTAAAAATAGTAAAAAAAATGAAACCTTACGATTTTTAAATTTTGGTGTCCATTCGACTCGGCATGAGCCAAGGATTCAGAGGAAAACAATAAATTTCCTTCTAGACCTTATGGTTCAAAAGTTATTATCATAAACATGAGTGAAACTTTGGACAAGTGGTGGCGCTAGAGGGTTCGAGTTAGAGACTCCAAACTTGCTGTGGTTAATGTTGTGACTGTCCTCTATCAGTGCGCCAAATTTCATAACTTTTCCGCAAGCGGTTCTATGGGAAGCCATAGACTTCCAGAGCGGAAGAAGAATAATAAGAACGCCAACGGATACAATAATAATACAACTTATTATAACATTATTTTAAGGAACATATATTTTTTGTTTTTGTAAAAAAAAAAAGAAGAAATTTTTGCTATTTTAAAACGTTTCATTTCATTTGATTACTTTTTTTTTTTTTTTAATGAAACATTTCACAGGGCACTATTATTGTTAAAACTTTAATAAACTATTCAGTTGTATACGTTTCATGAATTCAATTGATTAATCATCCTTTTAGATTAATAAAATTTAATAAAACCATTAAGACTGAAAAATTAAAATGGAAAACACAGAATTCAGGATATATATTTATAAAACATATATATATATATATATATATATATATATATATATATCATATTAATGAGCCTTTAATTGCCTATAGCCTAATAAGTGGTAGTGGATGCACCTGTATGCAGTTTCATATGGATTACATAATTGGAGAATATTTGTTTTCCATTTAAATTTGTTCATTTAAAAGTAGACATTTCACTCTCTATAGATATATTTCTCATGCAAGGCAAGTATACACAGAGTTTTGGAGTTTCGCGCTCAAGTTCACAGAGACAGAGACGGCAGAATGCGCACACACGTTTCATTGTTATTCTGAGTGTACACAAATAAACGTAGTCTTTACAGATTCAAAAGATGTATTACTTTTATCTGTATGACCAAAGTATGAGCAAGTGAGCGCACCGGCGCCTCAGACACTCGAATAGCGCACATTTTTCTAGGTTAACATTAGATTTAGCGGCCAGGTAAAGTAGCTACTACATACATATTTCAGATGATAAGCCATATTTGAGGTTGATTATGATAGGCGAGCGTTTGATGTACTGTATTACCACACAGACCAGCTGTTAATAATCTGTCCGTCACGGACTGCGTGACTTTGCCTCTTCCTGTGGATTTATTTTTTCTGCGACTAATAAAATATTGGTTGACCAAGCCTCTTCTCGTCGACTAACAGTTAGTCAACTATTAGGGGGCAGCCCTATTTATTTCCACAACTTTTTGCCAGCATGATCTGAGCCAATTTTGGTGAAAATCAGACAAACAGTCTAGGACGAGTTTGAAAAAGCAGTTTTTTTCGAACTATTAAAAATAGTAAAAAAAATGAAACCTTACGATTTTTAAATTTTGGTGTCCATTCGACTCGGCATGAGCCAAGGATTCAGAGGAAAACAATAAATTTCCTTCTAGACCTTATGGTTCAAAAGTTATTATCATAAACATGAGTGAAACTTTGGACAAGTGGTGGCGCTAGAGGGTTCGAGTTAGAGACTCCAAACTTGCTGTGGTTAATGTTGTGACTGTCCTCTATCAGTGCGCCAAATTTCATAACTTTTCCGCAAGCGGTTCTATGGGAAGCCATAGACTTCCAGAGCGGAAGAAGAATAATAAGAACGCCAACGGATACAATAATAATACAACTTATTATAACATTATTTTAAGGAACATATATTTTTTGTTTTTGTAAAAAAAAAAAGAAGAAATTTTTGCTATTTTAAAACGTTTCATTTCATTTGATTACTTTTTTTTTTTTTTTAATGAAACATTTCACAGGGCACTATTATTGTTAAAACTTTAATAAACTATTCAGTTGTATACGTTTCATGAATTCAATTGATTAATCATCCTTTTAGATTAATAAAATTTAATAAAACCATTAAGACTGAAAAATTAAAATGGAAAACACAGAATTCAGGAAAAAAATAAAAAATTTGATAAGGCTCTAGAAGTGCTATTGGAGATTCTTGAGGATACAGCAGCACTGTCACTAACCTGTTCCACCAGCGCCGGTCTGCACCTGCACAGGTAACGCTGCAGGGATGGGCACCAGCTGGATCATCTGGCCGTTAAACTGGCACATGTTCACCCCCGTCATACCTGCGACCGGCTGCAGAACCACCTGCTGCCCCGGCGGAAGAGCAGAAGCCGGGAGAACAGTCTCAGCGCCGGAGAGGGGCGGGGCTACCATGACTGGGGCGCTGGAGAGGGGCGGGGCTACAGTGTTTGAGCCACGCCCAGGGTTACGTGATGATGTGGGGTTCAAAGCTGCAGGAATACATCTGATGCCATTAGGAGCCCAGGGCATCACCGGAGATCGGGTAATGGGCATTTTGAATGAATGAGCTTGGCTCACTAAACAAGACAAAGTAAAAGTATTTTACAGATGATATATACAGTACAGTGGTGGCCAAAATGATTAGAACACTAGTATTTTCAGCAGCTAAAATGGTTTTAAGTCAGTTATTTCTATTTTTTAGTTTCTGAATGAATCCACATCTTTGAACGAATCGAGTGAGTTAATGATTCAGTGACTCATTTGTATAAAGTCACTTGCTTTGTTTCTGAAAGAAACCGTCATTTAAACGAATCAGCTGAATGAATGACTGAATGACTCACTAAATAAGACAGTGATTCACGGCACATCATGTAATTAATTAAATAAGAAATTTTAATCGCTATGCCTACACTAGGGTTCAGCGTCTCTTGTTCTGACAGATGGTACCTGTGTGTTTTGAAGGATCGGTCGCTGGAGCAGAGATTGCACCCCTCGTCTCTCTGAGCGTCCTGACCTGAAGTGTTTTGGAAAGCGATCGGGTCGTGTTTTGAGGCAGTGGTTTTATTCTGCCAGTGACGTACGCTGCCAGACGATTGGCTGGATGCAGCGCTCCCATCCGGCCCAGGATCAATTTAGCCTGAGCGTACGTTTTTCCATTGACCTGAAATCAAGGGAGAGAGGTTTATGCTCAACAATCTGAGATCAAACACTATTCACAGTAGAGCTAAACGATTCTGGATAAATTGAGAATCACGATTTTTTTTAGATCACGATTCTCCCACGATTCTGAACTAAAAATAATGTGTGACAAAACATTATTGTTGCGGTCTATTTAAAAGAGTTTAATTAATCTGAATGAATTATTAAACATTTTAATATATATAGTATTTAAAATATATTTAATACACCAATTTTTAATATGAAACTTATGAAAAAGTGATTTAAATGAATGATTCAATGACTCATAAATACTTCACTTGTTTTTCATTACTGGCGTTTTTGAACAAATCTCTTGAATGAACGATTCAATGAAGAATACATTTTTTAACAGTCACTTTTCGCCACCTAGTGGTGATGCAATCGACAAATGTTATTTAAATCCTAATATAATCATGACAAACTATATATCATTGGAAAGGTCCGAGTCTCAAGATTCCATATTTGGTGGTTATTTTGTGATAGACGTAATTTGGGTGGCACCCGGTGGCTGTTTTTGGTATAACGCCTAAACAAAATTGCATATGATCCTCATTTTTCAAATTTGGAACTCAACTTATGTAGACATATGGCTTTAATTTTATAGCAATTTTGTATTTTTAACTATTTTTTAAAAATATTTATTTTATATAAAATAAAATAAAAATAGCACAATACATTTTCTTTTGCCAGTTACTTTTAAAAGGGGATTTGCTCTATTTTGATTGCTTCCATAGACATCAATCTTTATATGCGAACTATAAACTTTCATCCCAGTATTTCTGTGATAATACGAATGACTGTAAGACAGAAACAATGTAGTTGAAAAGCTGTTTCTTTACCTTTATCGGTCCAGAGCGCACTAGCGTCTTCTTGTCAGCCTTCAGAAGACCAGCGGGAACGACACGAGAGAGAAGAGGAAAGTGCTTCGCCTGTTTCTCATCAGGTGCGTTTGTCTGTATGATGTGCAGGTTCTCTTTAACATTCAGTCTGTTGACTTTCTGAGAGGAAGAGCTCCTCAGATGTGACGCATCGTCTCGTTTCTTCACACTCTTCCTCGGCTCACGAGTCTTTTCTGGCGTCTTGCCGAGGGACACGCAGACCTTGTAAATCAACGTGGATCCGCTCTCGTCTTTCTTCAGATCTTTGGAGAGTAGCTCCACTTTGTAGATGTCGATGTAGAAAACCGAAGCGAGGTGGTTCATGTCGATGCAGCGGAAGAGTTCCTTGAGCACCAGGGACCGATGGGTTTCCCAGTTACACCCCGAGATGATTTCCAGCACTTTAGTGGGCTCCGGCTCTCCCGCCTCACAGCTCTCGCCTGTAAACACACAGGAGGAACAAAACATGAACAACTGTACATGTGACCCTGGAGCACAGAATCAGTCATGAGGGTCAGTTTTTTTAAATCGAGATTTCTACATCATCTGGAAGCTGAATAAATAAGCTCTCCATTGATGTGACAGCAGGTATATTAAAAGCTGCTGTCACTTTCATACCAAATGCACCAAATGTTAATGTTAACAATGTTAATTAATTATTGATCATTGTTAATGTTAACAACAAAAGACAAAATCACTCACTGCTCTTGACTAATAACTTTTGTAACTTTATTTTTAAGGATTAATCTGTTTTTGATTTACAGTTTATTGAATTTCTGCACCTGAATACTACTGTTTTCCACCAAAACGGTTTCCAAAACGAAATCCAGGTCTTGAGTTTAATTGATAATACTGGCTAAACAAATTACAAAACTTGGCATGTGATTATGTAACTTATGTTCTTTGCATGAAGTAACGTCTGGCACAGTCACAAAAAAAAAAAGAACGCAAACAAATAGCATTAATAATCATTCATTTTCATTAGACTACGCTATGATAAATCTGAACATTTGTGTAAAATAATGGAGCATTATATTCTACAGAATTAACTTTGAAAGGGTTATTTTAGAATACAGCGTTTCTGCAGGTTTTGTTCATTTTGCATTTCCAGTAAACGCTTCTTGATTTAAGGATGTTTAGATATTTGTACTGGAAAACAAGACAGAAATACTGAGGAAGAGATTTATTTTTTGCAGCGCATGCAACATTTAATGCCATGACTTTATAAATACATGACTTTATGCTCTAATTTAAAGGGGTCCTATTATGCTTTTTTACTTTTTAAATTTTAGTCAGTGTGTAGTGTGTATGTTTGGGCATAAAAAAGATCTAGAAAGTTACAAATCTCAAAGTCCACTCCAAAGGGAGATATTTCGTTTAAAAACAAATTCCCCTTTCAAGAACTACAACGAACGGCTCGTTTGGACTCGAACCACCAAGCATGAGAGCATGTTCTAGTACACCCCCAAAACAAAATCAAGACTTTGTAAAAGAGCATAATAGGACCCCTTTAAGACCTTTTTAGGTCTTAATTTTGCATTATTTATTCTGCTATTTTCCTGTTTAGTTCTGTTGAACTGCTTTGAAACAACCGGTTTTGTATAAAGCACTATAGAAGTAAAGCTGAGTTTATTCACACACATCTAAGTAAAAGTATGAAAGAGTTTCTCCTACTGACCTGGATTCTGACACGCAGCGAGACCCAGCTGAGACACGGCACTGATCTTCAGTCAGCACCAGAGAACAAGACAAAGACAAGATAAAGATGAAAATCAACAGAAACACTCTCCTGTGTGTGAGAGTGTGTGTCTGTGTCTGTGTGTGCGCGTTTCTGTGACAAATGAGGACATAAATTTGTATAATGACAAGGGTATGACAAAGGTATGACATAGGTATTACAAGGAGAAGGTGACTTTTCAGGACATTACCCCATGTCCCCACTTTTCAAAACGCTTATAAATCACACAGAATGGAGTGTATTGAAAATCTGAAATAGCACAAAGTTTCCTGTAAGGGGTAGGTTTAGGGGTAGGGTTGGTGTAGGGCAATAGAATATACGGTCTGTACATTATAAAAACCATTACGCCTATGGGATGTCCCCACTTTTCACAAAAACAAACCTGTGTGTGTGAGTGTGTGTGTGTGTGTGTGTGTGTGTGTGTGTGCGCGTGTTTGAGTGTATATTAGTGCTGTCAGAATGGCTGAGAAACTAAATTCGAATTTTGTATTGAAATATTATCAATAATTGAATTATATTGTAATTTAAAATGCATAATTTCAGTTGGGGGGAAAAAAGCTTTTGGCTTCTCTCCTGAGGGTGCATCGAACAAAATATTACTAATGCACGTTTATTAAAGCAATAAAATAACACGACTATCTTTGGAAAAAGTGCATAATGTTTAAAGTAATGTTTATAAACCATATATATACTGTATATACAGGTGCATCTCAATAAATTCGTTTCCACGACATTCTAATTTATTGAGATGCACCTGTATAATTAAGTTGCTTAAACAATTAGAAACAAAACAGCATCATGTACAGTCATGTGAAAAAGTTAGGACACTCTACTGAATTCCATGGTTTTCCTTATCAGGACATAATAAAAAAAAAAAAAAAGGTTATTTCCAGGTCTTAAAATTTGGAAAATAAAACCTCAGATGAACAACACATGACATATCACACCGTGTCATTGTTTATTTAACAGAAAAAAAGCCAAAATGGAAAAGCCATGTGTGACAAAGTTAGGACACCCTTTCTGTTAAGATAAGAATTAAGAGGGTAATTAGCAGTCAGGCCTTTGATTAACTGAGCATCAGCAAGCTCTATAAAAGTAGAAGTGTGCTGGTCTGGAGCCATCAGGTGTGTGTTAACACAATGCCAAGGAGGTAAAACATCAGCAATGATCTTAGAGAAGCAATTGTTGCTGCCACCAGTCAGGGAAGAGTAATACGGACATTTCCAAATCATGTGAAGTCCATCATTCCACAGTGAGGAAGATTATTCACAAGTGGAAGACATTCAAAACAGACCCCAATCCTCCCAGGATTCACCCCAACATCAGACCATGTACCGCTCAGAAGAATGGCAGACAACCCAAGAACTCCACAGACCTCAGTTAACATGTTAAATGATAAAGTTCATGACAGTACAGTTAGAAAAATATGGGACAAGGATGGCATGGTGGGAAGCCGCTTCGATCTAAAAAAAGCATGGCAGCACGGTTTAGGTTTGCAAAGTTGCATCTGAACAAACCATAAGTCTTCTAGAACAATGACCTTTGAACAGATGAGACCATGATTAGTTTATTTGCACAATGCAGGGTCTGAACAGTAGCATGCGTTGTGTTAGATGCCAAGATGGATATGTCACACATTATGTCAGGTCTACACACAATATTTGTGCAATCTTTTATTTTAGCGTGTCCATCTCAACGTCTGTCAGTGAAGCTTCACGCTGTGTTGCTCTGGTGGACTCCACTGGAATGGGTTGCAGATTTGTTATGTATGTTCCTTGCTGTATGTGTATTTCATCCTCCAGAGAATGTAAATGTCTCTGGTTAACTCTTTACCTTGTAAAAAGGCTGCTTTAATGTCCTTGGAGTTTAGCTGCCATTTATTCTGACATATGACTGCCATGATCATTTTTAGAGACTCTGAACTACATGTAGGCGAGTCTTTGGGAAGGTCTTGAGTGTTTGTTTCTATAAAGCCTTAGGTACAACTCCAGCAGTTGTTTCTTTTAGTGTGGAGATGCACTTCTGCCCTTCATCTTTCACTTCTTCTGATTCTCTCCGACCATTCGGCTTCTGTGAATGCTTTTCTCATTGCATGTAGTGTTGTGATTTGCTTAGCTATCCAAGCACTCATACTGGTTTACTTACTTGTCTGTGTAGTTTCAGCAGGACTCTCTCCTTTTCTTTTGTTGTCATGTTTTCGGTCACAGCAAGAATTTCATTTTCATTTTGTTTTGCTCTCATTTGTCTCCTTTTCACCTAGATGACTGTCATCTCTCAAGTTCACACAATAATGTCCTGAAGATGTCAGTTCGAGGTTAACAGGTTGTTTAAACATGGTTGCTTTGTCATTTGCAATGTCCAGAACTGCACTTGCTCTTTTCAATGAAGCATATAATCAATAAAACATAGCTTAACACTAGGCACCTCACAGTCACTGAATCATAGGGTGTCCTAACTTTGTCACACATGGCTTTTCCATCTTGGCTTTATTTTTGTTAAATAAATAATGGCACGGTGTGATATATCATGTGATATTGTTCATCTGAGGCTTTATTTCCAAATTTGAAGACTTTCCAAAGACCAGATAATTTTTTGTTATCTCCTGATACAGAAAACCATGGAATTCAATCGGGTGTCCTAACATTTTCACATCACTGTGTGTACGTACAGTTTAATACAAAGGACCGAAAACCAATCACAAAGAGTACTTTCTTCATTTAAAAACATGAGATGCAGTGGAATGGGAAAAAACTGCCATAAAGTCTCGAGATATGTTTTTATAAGTTGAACTTACATTAATTCTCCATGGCTTTCTAAACATGCAGCTTCTCTTGTGCGAGACGCGAGTGCAACGCTGATAGATGTCCCTCTAGAAAATGTGATAAATATGTGTTCTGTGTGAATGGCTTGGTTTCAGTTTTGACGTAAACAACATCATCTCTGCATTGTTGTTCTGTTTTTCCGCAGTATTTTGAACGAGCAGCGCCGCATCTAGTGCTGCATAGACTAAAAACACATTATAATGCAGTGACACTTACATCGTCATCGCATCTCGTGTCCACTGATAGCGTTTTAGCATTCAAATGTAGATTTTTATTTTAAATCCGACGAATATTCCCAATTCGATGTTTTCTGACAGCCCTAGTGTGCATGTGTGTTTAAAGTACCGCTTCATCAGGTGCTGCTACGCTTCTTTTAGCCGGCAGTAAGTGCACCTGCGGTGGAGGGTTGCTGTTGTATTCTCGCACACGAGCACACGTCATCATGCTCTCGAGGTACAAGTAAACCGGATCCTTCTCCGTCTCCTGCACCTGTGATCAGGACGAACAACAGGACACAGAAAACTAAAATAAACAAACAATCAAAATATAGTCGGAAGTGTCTGTGCACACGAGCAATTCGTAGCTCGGAGTTAATTAATTTTACAGTTACAGTTAATTTCGTTAACGAAATCTATGACGAAAAATGTTTGTCAACAACGTAAAATGAGATGATGAGACGATAATAAGGTCATTAAATGAAAAACTGAGACTATATCAACATGTGATATTGTTGACGAAAAAAGACGAGACTAAAAGAAGTTTTAGTTAGGGCCGGATTATTTTTATCGTTATAATATTTGAGAGTAGGTTTTTAGTTTTCATAACGTAGACAGAGTGTATATCTAAAGTCTGTAATGTTTATTTAGCCTCTAACTGATATCCTGTTATAAATCTGTACACTAGATTAGTATGAGTCAATATTCTATTGATTTGTGCTTATTATTGAAAGAGTGACTTCTGATGAAATGTAAAAATAAATTTCCCAAATGAAAACAATCATTGCAATTAACTCTTTCCCCGCCAAACACAGAATTTTCCTGGTTTCTGTGTTCTCGCTGTTATACGCTAGGAGGCGCTGTTACGCATCTCCTGAATGAGTCTAGAACTCCAGTCTTCAGTGTCACATGATTAGAGCCCTGCACGGGCCTCAAATATAGGCCCTGCCCGTGTCCAACAGCTTATCAGAATTACCAGAATTAAGCAAATCACAATGTTAGTTTAAACGTATAACATATATAAATGTGCGCTGTTAGATGTATATGGTGCACCAGGAAGACGCAGAAACGAGCGATCTCATATGTAAGCATATGCATATGAAAAATAATGCGATCATCAACACTAACAGCATATAAATGAAAACTGCCTAATGTTCCCGAGTGAAATGTGGATCCAGAAAGAGCTGTGCAAGCTTTGGGAGCGCTGATGGAAGCCATCTTCTGAATCTTTGCTTTGATAATATTACTGAATATGATCAAGATGCAGTATTTGATACAAATGTGATTTTCTCAGCTTTTTGCTTAAAAATTTTGCTTTTTTCATGAAACCTACCTACATTCAAGTGTTGATAAAAAAGAATGCTTAAAGCTAAAATCAAACGTTTGTTTAAAAGTAGAGGGTCTGTTCTTTATTTTGATAAAAGATATTCATACAACAAAATATTCTGGGGGCTATGAAATTTTAGTGAAAATCAGCAAAAATGCTGGCGGTGGCTGGCAACTTTTTTTCAAAAACGCTGGCGAGGAAAGAGTTAAAATTTAGCACAATAATAATTTTTATCATTTTAAACATTATACAGCAAGACAAAAATGTGACTAAAACTATAGACTAAAATGCTCAGACATTTAGTTGACAAACTCAACTAAAACTAAAACAGCACAAGTTGACTAAATATGATAAAAACTAAAAGTTGCATTTGAAAACCTAGCAGAGAATAGCAGCACGGCTTGATAAGACAGCAGCTGACCTGAGGACAGGGCCGCGGCGCGGGAGCATGATGGCGCGGCGCTCGTCTTGGCGCTCCGCTGGCTCTGGGAGTGAACAGCGGCTCGGGGTCGTTCTCTCCGGCTCTCCTCCTCCACAGGCTGCTGATTCTGAGCGCTGGCTCCGGCCTGCCGTCTGATCCGGGGCCAGCGACGGCTGTGACACCACACAAGAGCAGCAGCATCACTCACAACACAACACATGACCTACAGGCACAAGATCTGTCACTGAAAACTATTGACTTCTGACGTCTATATGGGCTACTGTAAATATACGGTTAGTGACATCAGTGTCACAGATTCAATCAGAGCGACCCGAGAAACCGCAAGATCCAGAACAGAACATTTACACGCAAGTGTTATTATAGATAACTTAACTGAAACCATTAAAAAAAAATTTGTCGCTTGAAATAAAGTTAAACTTATTTTATTTCAGCTATTAATATTTTGAATTCTTTTCTGTTTTCATTTTTATTTTAGGTAAGTTTTAGTTAGGGCTGGGCGATTTTTCCGATTTTATTGATTAATTCGAATTTAAAGCTTTGCCACGATTTAATTTTTTAGAAATGGAGGAATTGCGATTTTGAATAGAAATATTACCAAACGTTAGATTTAGACACTTTGACAATATGCCGGTGATAACGGTAAAGAGAAAAGAACGATCCAACCGCGTTCAGTGAAGGACCGCGAGTAGAATATATATCACTAGACACCATTCACACAGAATGAGCTTTTGTGTTGATAAAGATGCGACGCTGCAGTGGAATAGCAAGCACATGCAACAAGATGGGAGTGAACTTCTCTTAACTTGAGCGCAGTGTTTTTAGAAAGCTGCTTCATGCAAGAGACGCGAGAGCAACAGTCAAACAGTCCATGTTTACACAGAAAACACAATGGAAAAGCAGTGCAAGCGAATAATAAAACCTGTGAAGAACTATTACTGTACGTCTGATATTTCATGTTTGCATCACGGTGTCAGACTGAAAGCTGCTGTTGTTTTTACAGAACATTTATAGTTAATAATACTCTACTGCTGTTATGCCTTCAGTCATTATGAGTTTGAATTACCTTGACTTCTGAGAATTTTTTTTATGCATTTTCCTCGCATTATTTCTGAACATATGTATAAGACAAGTTTGTACAAGATGTAGTTATAGTTCATGCATCTTTTCTGCAAAGATATTTAACAAGTGATTTGTTTAACATTTATATCTTCATGTGTGCCGCACTTGGAATAGAATTGTCTTTAACTAGAGGAAGTTACTGGAATCATGTCGTAGTTACATTTTCAAGTCGACTAGTTAAAAATCGTAAAAAATTCAGAATTGGTCAAACGTTCTGAAAAAAATCTAGATTTTATTTTTGTGCCATATCGCCCGGCCCTAGTTTTAGTATTTCTTTTAAATATGTCTATATGTGACCCTGCAGCACAAAAGCAGTGTTAAGTCGCTGGGGTATATTTGCAGCAATAGCCAACAATACACTGTATGGGTCAAAATTATACATTTTTCTTTTATGCCAAAAATCATTAGGATATTAAGTAAAGATCATTTTCCATGAAGATATTTTGTAAATCTCCTACTGTAAATATATCAAAACTTAATTTTTGATTAGTAATATGCATTGCTAAGAACTTCATTTGAACAACTTTAAAGATGATTTTCTCAATATTTAGATTTTTTTGCACCCTCAGATTCCAGATTTTCAAATAGTTTCCAAATATTGTCCTATCCTAACAAACCATATATCAATGGAAAGCTTATTTATTCAGCTTTCAGATGATGCATAAATCTCAATTTCACAAAATTGACCCTTATGACTGGTTTTGTGCTCCAGGGTCAGAAATAGTTTTTATTCATTCAAGTTTTAGTTATTTTAGTACAAAACATGCTGTACTGAAAACTAAAACCTATAAAGAATAAAAACAATATAGGAAAAAAAAGATAAAAACAACAAAATTACCAAATAAAAATTGAAAATCTAATCGGAATCTAAATATGAATAATATGTGAATGAGTAAACTAAGAGTGACTGGCACTTGAGCGCAACAGTAAACCCGGTGCAGACTTACGGAAGGCCACCAGGCTCCCGGCGCTGTGCTCGGAGCGCACGAGGAGGATCTTGTGTTTGAAGCAGCCGCAGCTGAACATGCACTGCACACGTCTGCAGTGAGTGGATCCTCGCGCTTCTCTGTTCAGACTTTCACAGACGCAGCCCAGCCGGCAGAAGTCTTTACCACACACACCTTCCCTGACCTGCTGCTTCGTCTTCACCGCCTTCTGTACAGATCACATCATTCTAACACTTTTATACATACTCTTAATAAGGGGACAAAATGTTTTTATCCCAGCATGAGAAAACTGAACAATATTTATATATTAAATCTTGTGCTAATGCCTATTTTTGATAATCCAGTGGGGAAAAACGCATTAATCCTGTTATCTCATTCAGCAACTTTGCAAACTTTCTTTACAGTAGCACAGCGATTCCCAAACATTTTAGTCAGCTGAAGAACTTCCCGAGATTTCTTCAATAATTTAACGACGCATTCACAAGTTCACAGTTCTCTAAAGTTGGTTACAAGTCACATGACATGCAAGTAAACAGATAAAATATAAAATCTTATTAGTAACTGTTCTGTACCTACCTCAGAAAGCACTGGTAGTTAGGGATGCACCGATGTATCGGCCGATTTTTGATTATTTTAAAGCCATCTGCATATATCGGTAATAGCATGAAAAGGGCCAATAACGATGCTTTATTAATTAACTGCATGGAGACAACGAGTTGCACGTCTGTTGCATAATCCAACGTTTTTCAAAATAATTAAATACTTGCCAAAACAAAATACAATCCATAGAAAATATAGTTTGTCAGACGGCTCAGCTGTAAATTCATCACAGGTAAGTCGTTAGAGTTTATCCGAGGATATGTCATGAACCGCCAAGCATTAGGACTACAATGAAGTGAAAATGAATGGCAGGTAATATGCAGCTTTTTGTTTGAAACCAGTGTAGAACACGGATTGACACACTGTCACATTTCTGTGAACGGAGAAAACTATATAGGCTACATAAAAATGAATATATAGGCCTATACACTAAATATATTTCACTTAAATCATTAACGGATTAACAAAACGAAAGAAAAAAAGTGTGCTGAGTTTCGGGTAATTGTAAAACGCGCTCTGAAGTTCACGGAAAGGAAACCGAGACGGCAGAAAGCGTTTTTCTTTATTTTACAAAAGGTTCACAGTTTTGAATGATGTTTTCCTTCTATCTGTATGACAAACCAGTGTTGCTATGACCATAAATTATGAGTAACAGTTGGGAAAACAATGCAGTGATCGTGTCGGTGCCTCACACGCACATACAACCGATTTATGCTAATTAGACAACGCAGCCTGTTCATTATCTAAATAAAATACAGTTAAAGCATAAAAAGTTACACTGCTCAATTTAAATAGTCCGTAGTACAGTCTGTGCCTCACTGCTGTTATAGTCTATATGTGAAAGATGAGGTTTTACGTCCACATCCGAGTGACCGAAGAACAAAGCCTATAGTTCACATAATAAATAATAGGTTAGCATCCAGATACTTCGCGAATGTGGAAACATCTGGATTTGTGCAGAATGAGAGAGATAGGCTTCAGTTTCGCTTTTAAATTAATTCGTTTTGGCTTGACGCTTATATTTAGCCTAAATACAACTTTAGAGGATTTGTTGTGGAGAGAAGGGAACTAAAATAGCCTAATTGTGTTTGTAATTTTGCTTTTATTTACCATTATTTAGCCTACATTATTTCTGAATGTAATTATATAATGTAACGTACAGCCTACTAATTTAGGCTGTTTTTTTCCTCTCAAAACGCTTATAGGAGCTTATAAACGCTTAATTTATAATACTATGAAATATGTTGCGTGTCTTATTCTGTGTAAGAAGCCTCATCATCTCACAGAAGGATTTATTTCAAACACTCGACTGACGTTATGAAGTGAGTTTGGAGTAAAAACATGTTATTAAATGTGGTATTTTCACGTGTTTTCAGATGGAGCAGCATTTACTACACAGAGCCGTAGTTCACTGAGAAGCTACGCTAACAGCTGTCATTATCACGAACGATTTCTTCAATTTCATAATCGTACGATTATATCGTCTGTGATTTTTTTTTGCGTAGCTTGTCAGAGAACTACGGCTGTGTGTAGTAAATGCTGCTCCATCTGAAAGCAGGTGATGGAGATTTACTACTAATCACAGAACCGCTTTACTGACGAGATGCGCGTGACTATCGCACTCGATTAATCCTGCAGCCCTACTGTATTGGCTAAGACTAAACGAGATCAAGACTCTCTTAATGATTTACTTTTTGAGTAAATTAAACACTCTACTTTATTATTGTTATTATTAGTAGCAATATTGCATAGCTTGTCAGTGAACAACGGCTCTGTGTAGTAAATGCCGCTCCGTCTGAAAGCAGGTGATGGAGATTTACTACTAATCACAGAACCGCTTTACTGACGAGATGCGCGTGACTATCGCACTCGATTAATCCTGCAGCCCTACTGTATTGGCTAAGACTAAACGAGATCAAGACTCTCTTAATGATTTACTTTTTGAGTAAATTAAACACTCTACTTTATTATTGTTATTATTAGTAGTATGATTATTATTATTATTGGCAAAGAAAAAGTAAAAAAAATAACGTTATTAACCGGTATGTTTTCTACTCAAACCGGTTTCACAGAGGAACAGAAAACAGAAACGCTCAAATACCGATTCTGCTCGGAGTGAACCAATCTTTTTTTTTCTCTCGTTTTTAAGCCCTGCTTTATGCAATTGAAAAATATCGGTATCGTAACGGCCAATAGTTGTTTGTTAAAATCGGTATCGGCCAAAAAAAATCCTATCGGTGCATCCCTACTGGTAATATGAGGTAACTACATGGGGTGGGTTCAGGGTTATTACCTAGTTATTGCAATTACTATAATAAGTACAGAGTATGTACATGAGTAACAGGACTGTAAAATAAAGTGCTACCGATTTTTTAATTATCTATTTATATAAATAAGCAAACCTACTGTATATAAAATAAATAAAATAAAAATTTGTAGTGTTTTATGTTTTTATTGTTGGGGGCAAAAACAAAAGTGTTGCGTTTATAATTTTGTTCAGTATATAATATTTAAAATTATTTTATAATTATTTATTTATATAAATAAGCAAATATATGTGTATATGTGTTTTATTTCATTGTTTTGTAATTATTATATATAATATTATGAATTATTTTACAATTATTCATAATTATTTATTTATATACGTGAATAAACAATAATACATTTTAATACATTTATAATTATTATTTATAAAATAATTATTTAAAAAAATCTTATTAAAAAATAAAAAGCTATATTTTGTCATATATTGTGATTTGAACTGCAATACGTTTCATTTCACATTGCTATTGAAAAACCCTGCAGTAGCATAAAAACAACAGCGTCCAGTCCTAGCTAGTGTGCAGTAATCAGATATGTAAATGTGTTAGGGCTGTCTAATAAAAATTCAAAATTTCAAATATAAAATAAAAATCCACATTCGAACGCAAAAACGTTGCATGTTAGGTCTCGAGACTTTATGGCATTTTTTCCCCATCCCACTGCATCTCATGTTTTTAATTTATAAAAAGTAGTCTGTGATTGGTTTTCGGTCCTTTGTATTAAACTATACATACATACATGATGCTGTTTTGTTTCTAATTATTTAAGCAACTTTGTGTTATGGGTTATAAACATTATTTTAAACATTATGCACTTTTTTCAAAGATAGTCGTGTTATTTTATTGCTTTGAATAAACGTGCATTAGTAATATTTTCCTCGATGCGCCCTCTTGTGGCCTCAGGAGAGAAGCCAAAAGCTTTTTCCCCCCTAACTGAAATTATGCCCTTTAAATTAGAATATAATTCAATTATTGATAATATTCAAGTACAAAATTCAAACTTTTTCAGGCATTCTGCCAGCCCTAGTGTGTGTGAGAGCGGACGCACCTCTGCGGTCAGCAGTGAGCTCAGAGCGAAGCCGGCTCTCTCAGCGCTGATGTGAGTGGGACTCTGTCCGAGAGAGACGGCCTGCTGCTCCTGAGCCAGCAGCTCCGAGTGCTTCTGAGCGAATGCAGAGGCCTGCGCTCCATCCACGGCATCTCTGTTGAACCTCAGCGTCCGCCTCCGCCGCCGGTACCTTCTCCTGCGTCTGGAGGGAGCTCCGCTGGACGCTGCAGGACGCTGAGGAGGATCTTCAGAGACGCTGCGCTTCCACCGGAGTCTGGCCGAGGAAGAGCGCACTGCTTCCGGAGCCGCTCTAACACCTCGTCTGGATCGCCACGCTTTAGTGCGCTTGTCACGGAGTCCAGAGGGGGCAGAGCTGCGCGTCTGGAGCACACTATCTAGGGTCCTCACGTAGCTGCTGCTCTTGACGGGCAGCTGATAGAGCACCGGAGACGGAGCGCTGGAGGAAAACACGGCGGCGCGTTCGCTGATCCGCTGGCCTTCAGCCTCCAGATACTCGTCCAGCAGGACCGAGGAGAACGCCGAGTGACCGGCCGAGCCTGATCAGCAGCGGAAACAGGAGAAAATCACACCTGAAGACCAGCCAATCCAATAAACAAAGCAGGGCTGGGAAAATAAACCGATGCATCGCGAATCGAGAAATGATTCCGCATCGATTCTGAGGTTTTCCGAAGGCGTCGTGATTCTTTCTCGAGTGGATTCTGAGCTTAATTGTGAACAGCAAATGGCGCTGCATGCTTCAGAAACAGACAAATCCTTACACACACTTGAACCTAAAATAATCCATCATAGGATTCGAAAAGATTGCAGCGAATCACAAGGGTGTTCACAGTGGGCTGTGTTTACATTAATATGGCGTCATAAAAGCATTCTGAGCTGATGTGAAATTACGGACTCTAAAAAAACTAAACTCTAAAAACTAGGGTAGAGCGCCATCTGCTGTTAGAATATAAGCTCAGAATCAATTCCAGAGAGAGTCGCCATGAATTCGGAAGATCTCAGAATCAGTCCACGAATCAATTCTGCATCGATTTATCGCCGCAGCTCTAAAACGAAGGAGCTGTTTTTATTATGTGCTTACTGTCGGCTGAGCTCTTTGAACTAAACTTCTCCATCCAGCCTTTGATCCTGGTCAGATCGCTCGTCTTCCCAGTGCGCGAAACGAAAGCGGCGTCTGGACACAAACAAGAAGCATAAATAATAAATAAATGAACTAAACAAAACTCCAATATATCATTAATAGCATGTTTTTTTTATAGTTTTATAAATAAATCTCATATTCATTACTGTAGTTCTAAAAAATTCTGTTTTTAATATTACAATATTTTCTTCCATTTTTTTATTTGAACAGTAAACCTTTGCTGTGCAGCACTTTGTTTGCCAAAAAGGAATAAAAGAAAGTAGTAAAAAAAAAAGTACTCAAATGAAAAAAAGTTTCATTAAATTTTAAAAGATTAATTAAATTGTCAATGTTTTATGCCTTCATTTGATTACCACCGTTTTTATTAAATAATTGTGTATTAAATCCTAAACACAACTTCTGAAAAAATAAAACATTTCATAGAGCACCATTATTGTAAAAATGTTAATAAATTAAGTTTATTTTGATTTGATTGATTAGAAATGCTTTTTGATTATTAAATTAAAAAAAATAAAAATTATAAAAAAATAAATAAATTCAAATGGAATCCAGAAAAATTAAAACAGAAAATACAGAATTTTGGAAAAAGTTAAAAGAAATTTGGGAAAAAGTAAGAAGGTTTTCATAGGGCCCAAAAATGTTTTTGTAAAAAAAATAAAATAAATAATAATAAGAAGAAGAAATAAAACTTTTGAAAGTGTTTGTTAAATTGTGTAGATTTCATTATTTCAATTAATGTAGCACGCTTTTGTATTACTAAAATTTAATTTAAACATTAAAACAGAATCCAGAAAAATGAACATGGAAGAAACAAAATTTTAAAAATGATAAAACAGACTCAATAGGACCCCATGTAATACATCGTTTTACTTTTGAGGGCTTTTTTTTATGTTTCTCAATGTCAGTGATGATTCATATTAGACTCCATCACTCTAATATAACAGCACAAACACCCCGGAGCCATAATCTTCATGATTTTGCTTACGGGAGGATGATGTGAGGACAGGTGAAGGCAAAGGTAGAGCAACACCCAGATAATGCAGGTCTATGGGTGCCGCTGGATCCAGAAGATTCAGTTTCAGCCCAACTGTGCAGAAACCAGAACAGAAACCAGAAATTAATAAACCAGACAATAACAGAGCAAAAGACGAACCGCAGATGGGTTATGAGTGCTGCGGGTATTTGATCTGCATCCTTTCACTTCTTTTTTAATCTCGATAATTTAATTTTAATTCATCTTTTCCAGTAAGCAGGGATCAACGCTAAGGATTTTTTCTACTGGACCGGTGGTTAAAATGTTTACTTGCCCTGCCAACACTTTCACTGGCCCTGCCACAAAAAATAAAATAGTTGCTGTTATCATCGTTTTTGATCTGTTATCTTGTTTTCTAATAAATAAGCTTATATGACACCAATATTTTAGATACCAATTAAATTTTACAATTCTCTATTTCAATTTCGATACCACAGCAAAAATCACTAGCCAAAAATAAACAAACAAAGTTTAAACATTATTAAAGACAATTGAACAAATTACAAATAATAGCACAATTAAATATAGGCCTATAGCACAAAGATAGAAATGAAATGAAGCTTTAGGTTTTTATGTTTGTAGATGTTCAGGTTCAGAAATGGAAAAATCACATATTAAACATTATTAAAGACAATTGAACAAATTACAAATAATAGCACAATTAAATATAGGCCTATAGCACAAAGATAGAAATGAAATGAAGCTTTAGGTTTTTATGTTTGTAGATGTTCAGGTTCAGAAATGGAAAAATCACATAAATAACACTTGCAAATTCTTCACTCTGTGTTGCACCTTGATTTTTCATAGCCATTTGAAATTAGAGGCAAGCACTGCATTTTAATCATGAATTGGAAAAAAGAGCAATGTTTGATTTATATTAGACTGTATAATTTCAAAATCTGAAGCAAAAACGGAGTGGTCTGAATGAGATGCAGATTCACAATCTGACAGCAGGTGGCACTTATGGAACAGTAATACAGCGTTTCCTTGGTTACCGCTGTAAACACAGCAGCGCTGCGCTTATTAACACTAATTTAAATGCATCATACGGAGATATACGGGCAGTCCTTATTGTCAATATGTAAGTAAGTTTAAATAGATTTTTACAGCATTTTTACCTTTAAAAGTGCGCATTATCTTTTGCGTCAAATTCTTACATTTAATCAGTGAATTAGAATAATAACACATTTGGCCTGTTACCAAACAAATGAAATCAACACAGAAGCTGCATCTGAAGTGGCATTTAGATGTATTTACACACTGTTTAATGCAGGACATGAATGCATTTAACCTGCAATTACAAATGCATAAATAACGTTTTGATCTATTAAACATAAAACGTTAAATACTGATATTTAAAATTATTTAAACAATAAAAAGATGCTGTAAATGTGAAATTAAAACCGCCAGTAGGTGGCAGCAAAGTCATTGTTAATAAGTGATTCACTGCGATTGAACCGAATCATTTAAACGGTTGATTAATTTAGTTGTGTTGCTCAGAGACACAAATATAATGCAAATATCCAGGGACATCCAAAATAATGTGTTTGGAATTATTTTTCTAGTCGAAATAGCGCAAAAACAAGCAATATGGTGTCTAAAATGTAAGTCTCTTAATTAACTTCTTGTTTACTGAACTGTTGTAAAAAAATCAATATTACATTTGTAATCATGGTAATTTTTGGCCCTCTTCGTGTGAAATTGATTAACTATATGAAGTGGTATAAATATATACATTTTCTGCCCCCGTCTTAAACTTGTGATCATTCTAAATGCATTTTAATACTGAATCATGCAGTGAACTCTAGACTTGATGTGTGCGTGCACTCCGTAGGTGTGTTTTGTTTGGTTTTTGCGAAATACTTGATAATGTCAAATCACACCAATTCCGATATTATGGCAGACGATATACAGTATATCGCATTCAGACCCTGCAGGTTTGATGTGTGTTGGTCTGTGTGTGTTCACCTTGTTGAAGCACAGGATGAATGATCTGCCGGTTCTTCAGCTGCTGGAGCTGCTGCAGTAAGACCGGCTCCTGCTCACAGATCCAGTCTGCAGACGTCACAAACAAACACACATGAGTTCGTCATCAGAGCGGAGGATGCTCACGGATCAGACGCTCACACACCTGCATCACGCGCTGGCTTCTCCGCTCCAGTCTGCGAGTGTGATGAAGCAGATGTCTCCACGGATCTCCTCATGTTTCCAACATGAACGTCCAGCGCCTCCTGAGACACAAAGCAGCTGATGAACAGCGACTGTCTTCAGGCAAAGGATAATAAACCAGCTCTGTTTATTCGGAGTAAACGCTGTGTGAAGTGTTGGTTTGATATCGGTGTCTGATTCATTATAAATCAGCGTTACATCAAACCTGTTCTCTAGATATCAGAAACTGAAAACAAAAACACTAATTGCAATTTTACTGTGATTATTGATTATATATTTTTAATATTTTGATAATACGAAATAAAAATATTAAACAAAATAAGAGACATATTGTAATAATACTGCAAGATAAAAAAAAGATTATTTTATTTTACTGTAAAATTAAAATTCTAATTAATTTCTTCATTTTCAAAGGGTAAACTACGAAGTTTTTATTTTGACGGGTTGTCGACAAATAAAAATGATACGCTGTCTGTTTATTCACACACATGCAGCGCCGTGTTTCAGAACGGCTTGACAGTAAACGAAACCACTGAAACACCGTCTCATGAACTACATGTGTGTAAAAGTATAAATAGTAATTGAGTTTAAGTTTGGGTTCTGTTGTTAATCGTAATCTTATAGTAATATAAAGAGCTCCCTATAGTTTAGAGCAGAAGCTGAGGTAGATTTTTATCCCTGAGGAAATTAAAAAAATAATTGCATATTAAATCGCAATTTCAAAATTGGTAAAAAAAAAAAAAAAAAAAGCAATTTGTTAATTTTTTTCCTCCTGCTGTACTCAAACCATACCGAACCATCATGTTTGTGTAGCGTTGCACTCCTAGTGAACGCAGTAGCTGGTCTTTCATACCTTGGCAGTGAAGGACACAAACAGCACGCCGTCCACGTGCTCCAGGTCGGGCTGCATGGACGCGGTGCTGACCGCAGCAGATCTGTGCTTCACGTTAGTCCACCATTTAGCCTTGGCTTTCCTCGCGCCACTCCTCCAGCCCCTGCGGTAAACACGCTTCACTCTGCAGCTGATCCCAGATCTGTGCTGCTCTGAGCTCTGAGACGATCGCAGAGACACCTCATCAGCAGATGCAGGGGCTAACGAGGCCACAGGCTCAGCTGATGGGTCTCTAACGAGCGTCTCGTCACTCATCCTTCCCTCTTCACTGGACTCATGATGTGTGTGTGTCGAGCTACAGGTAAAAGAAGAAACACATCATAATCAAACACACTCATGATGACAGAAGGGTGCATCTCATCAAAACTCATGTGACCCTGGAGCACAAAACGGGTCAATTTTTGTGAAATTGAGATTTGCTGAAAGCTGAATAAATAATCTTTCCATTGATGTATGGTTTGTTAGGATCGGACAATATTTGAAAATCTGGAATCTGAGGGTGCAAAAAAATCTAAATATTGAGAAAATCATCTTTAAAGTTGTCCAAATGAAGTTCTTAGCAATGCATATTACTAATCAAAAATTAAGTTTTGATATATTTACGGTAGGAGATTTACAAAATATCTTCATGGAACATGATCTTTACTTAATATCCTAATGATTTTTGGCATAAAATAAAAATGTATAATTTTGACCCATACAATGTATTGTTGGCTATTGCTACAAATATACCCCAGTGACTTAAGACTGCTTTTGTGCTGCAGGGTCACATATGACAAAGCACAAGAATAAGACATTAGATTTTGCATAAAGAGCATTTTTGCAGTGAAATACGACCCAGAACTTTCTTCTTGAGAAGCAAAAACAGGTTAAATTAACAATTAAAACCACTGTATAGCACTACATTCATGTACCGATATGATTCATTTACATGATTCACATATTTGGTAGGCCCGAAAACGTTGAAATTTTTAATAAATTGTTGTTAAATCATGTAAGTTGCACTATTTTAATTAACTGTCCATGCTTTGTGATTACTAAAATTTAAATTAACCGTTAAAACTGAGTCTAGAGAAATTAACACAGAAAAAAATTAATTTGGGAAAAAATAAAACTGCCCTAAAAATATAATTTTCGTTCATTTTTTTAATAAATTGTTGTTAAATTGTATACGTTTCATGATTTTAATCAATTAGCCCTTTTTTCTTTTTTTACTAAATTAGTCACATGTAATTTAACCATTAAAACTGAATACGGAAAGAAATAAAACTGAAAAATATAAATTTGGGAAAAAAATGAAAAATAATTTGGGAAAACATTCATAAGCTTCTAAAAACTAAATTTTTGTTAAAATTGTAATAAATGTAATAGTATATGATTCATTATTTTAATTGATTAATCATGCCGTTTGATTACTAAAATTTTAAATGTATTAAAATAAAAGAGCTCTAAACGCGTTTGACCCAAAACTAACTTTCTTAATTTGTGTTCCTTGTCTTACTGCGAATGATTCATCAATGACGCTATACTAAAGACATAAATGCTAGTCTGCAACAACAGAATAAAGCCGCACCTGCGGTGTTTCTCGCTCAGAGCCAGCTTGAGTTTGTTCTGGATGAGGCGAGCGCTCGCCCCGTCCTCTCTGAACGCCAGCATGAAGGGGTTGCAGTCGATCTTGAGCCGGGTTATCAGCGGGTTCTGGTAGCTGGTCACCGCATAGAACGCTGTTTTAGGGAAGGTGAAGACATGGACGTCCGGCTCAGGACAGGAGCTCGCGGGAACCACGTAGAGCCGCGGCTGATAGCGGTGCATGGGCCGCAGAACCACAGCGGCGTCTGGATCCTCAGAGCTGTGCGACAGCTTCATCTTGTAGAAGGACACAGGCCCGTCCATCCAGCGCTGACCCGCAGCCGGAGAGTCCGGATGGAAACACACTAGAGAGGTCACCGTATGAACGTTACTCATCACGGTTATCAGTATCATCACTGTACTGTTAAAAAGTGCTAGAACTGTTCAAACAGCACCGACACATAAATCACCAAGTTTGTATTTAAAATCAACAAACAATAAATAAAATGACTTTCTGTTCAGATGAGGCTCGTGCAGAAATCTAAACAAACGAGCGCAACAGAAAGTTATGCCGCAGTAAAACAACAATATATGATTTAGGTATGCGACACTGCACGACCGAAATGTTTCAACACAATTGCAATGTGAGTCTCTGTAAATCCACTCTGTGACAGCAGGTGGCGCTGATGGAGCAGCAGAATTACAGCTGTTTCCCGTAACCTCCTGCACAAAGCAGCACTGCGATTAAAACACTGCTTTATTAGGTATTGCATGGAGCGAAGATGAAGACAAAATGCCATCGAATCTTTTTAAGACAGTCAGAACCTTCAGAGGTACATTCATTTAATTAATTAATTCATATATTCATTCGTATAATTCCCTTAGCACTCTTTTAAAACCTCGTAGCCTTCCGCCGTGTTTTCACACAAAACAAAACTCACCTGCTGCTGTGCGAACATGACACTGTTATTTAAAACTGTGCTTTATGCTGAACAGTATTTATGTATCCCGAGTTGTTCAAATCGCGGTAATCGAATACGGTTAGAGCTGAGCGATTTTATCGATTAATTCCAATGTAATGCTTTGCCACAATTGTATTTTTTTAGAAATCGAGGAATCGCGATTTTGAATAGAAATATTACCAAACGTTAGATTTAGACACTTTGACAATATGCCGGTGATAACGGTAAAGAGAAAAGAACGATCCAACCGCGTTCAGTGAAGGACCGCGAGTAGAATATATATCACTAGACACCATTCACACAGAATGAGCTTTTGTGTTGATAAAGATGCGACGCTGCAGTGGAATAGCAAGCACATGCAACAAGATGGGAGTGAACTTCTCTTAACTTGAGCGCAGTGTTTTTAGAAAGCTGCTTCATGCAAGAGACGCGAGAGCAACAGTCAAACAAGTCCATGTTTACACAGAAAACACAATGGAAAAGCAGTGCAAGCGAATAATAAAACCTGTGAAGAACTATTACTGTACGTCTGATATTTCATGTTTGCATCACGGTGTCAGACTGAAAGCTGCTGTTGTTTTTACAGAACATTTATAGTTAATAATACTCTACTGCTGTTATACCTTCAGTCATTTTGAGTTTGAATTACCTTGACTTCTGAGATTTTTCCTCGCATTATTTCTGAACATATAATATGTATAAGACAAGTTTGTACAAGATGTAGTTATAGTTCATGCATCTTTTCTGCAAAGATATTTAACAAGTGATTTGTTTAACATTTATATCTTCATGTGTGCCGCACTTGGAATAGAATTGTCTTTAACTAGAGGAAGTTACTGGAATCATGTCGTAGTTACATTTTCAAGTCGACTAGTTAAAAATCGTAAAAAATCGGTCAAACATTCTGAAAATAAATCTAGATTAAACATTTTTGCCATATCGCCCAGCCCTAAATACGGTTTAAATGATAATTAAAATATGTAACGGTAATACTAACCGTGGGGAATTTTATCATGATTTATCGCTCCATCCCTGAAACACACATGACTCTGGAGGTGCGGCTCGCCGGCTCCGTGAGGCTCCCACGTCTCCCCGTTCCAGCGGTGTCGGAGCTCATCCAGAGGCGTGATGTCCAGGATCAGGAAGTAGCTGAGCTCGGGCTGTAAGCCGCTCAGACGGAAGCGGCAGCAGGGGAACATGCGTCTGCCCTGCACCGTCAGGATCATCTCCGTGCCCAGGCTGTGAAAGCGGCTCCAGACCGACTCGTTCTCCAGCGTGACCGAGACGCCACTGCCATCATCGCAAACAAGCCTGTCAGCGTTTCCCAGCATTCCCTCTGCTGTGCTCTCCATCGCTGCAAACCTCGGCTCATCTACAGGCCAGTCCATGTCCGGCACACCATTCAGCTGATTTCAGCATCTGAAACAGCTGGAAAAACACAACAAATCACCGATCGATGAGCTCGAACAGACAGACAAGACAACAAAACACCCTCATGATGCTGGGATTAGGCCTAAATGATTACACTGGGTTCCTGAAAAAAATTAAACAGAACATGCAATTATGGGGGTCTGACAGGATTTGGAAAAAAATTAAATGGCCCAATAACTTTGAAACTTTTAAATTAATTGTTGTTAAATCATGTAAGTTTCACTATTTTAATTACCTGGACATGCTTTGTGATTAATAAAAATTAAATGTAACAATTAAAACTGAGTCTAGAGAAATTAACACAGAAGAAAAAAAAAATATTTGCGAAAAAATAACACGGCCCTGAAAATATAATTTCCGTTCATTTCTTCATAAATTGCTGATAAATTGTATATGTTTCATGATTTTAATCAATTAGCTTTTTTTGTTTTTTTTTACTAAATTAGTCATTTAATTTAACCATTAAAACTGAATATGGAAAAAAAAAATAAAACTGAAAAATATAAATTTGGGGAAAAAATGAAAAAGAATTTGGGAAAAAATACATAAGCCCTTAAAAATGTAATAAAAACTAATACATTTTTTATTAAATAGTATACGAGTCATTATTTTAATTTATCAATCATGCCGTTTGATTACTAAAATTTAAAATGGATTAAAATAAAAGAGCTCTAAATGTGTTTGACCCTAAATTGACTTTCTTAATTTGTGTTTCTGGTCTTACTGCGAATGATTCATCAATGACGCTATACTAAAGACATAAATGCTAGTCTGCAACAACAGAATAAAACATCCATATAATGAGACGAACTGTATTCGAACTGTGTTTGTGTCATTTGTGCTTGGTTGATTTTAAAATTGTATTTTATTTTATTAGACATCATTTTTGATTATTAAAATGTAATTAAACCATTAAAACAGACTCCAGAAAAATTAAAACAAAGAACGTGAAATTTGGGAAAGAATAAAATGGATTTCAAAAGGGCCCTAAAAATGTGTGTTCCTGCTCTTCCTGTGAATGACGGTCTAAAGACATAAATGTTTGTTAGCAACATCAGCAAACTGTACTGGAACTGAACGGTGTTTGTGTCATTTGTGCTGGTTTGATTTGTGACGTTTTTCTCTGTTTTTGTCCTTCATGTATGCAGTTAACAGAAACATTATTACACATTTAAAGCATTTTCATTCTTTCACAGTGACACAATCAATGCCACAGCACGTGCTTCTGTCTCGGTTCTAACCACAATAACTGCTCTGTAGAAAACTGAAGAATTTTCAAAGTTGTAAATAAAGCAAACACAAAGAAAATACTATTTCTGTCTTTTTCCTTCAAAATATTATGTTTAATTTAGCGCTGGGCAATAATTAATCACGAATTTGGGGCATTATGCTTTGGCACAGTATCCGTCAAACGAACTCAAACCGAAAGCACTATATGTTTAATCTCTTCATCAAGTCTGTTTTCACTGCGTGTTTCAAAGCGCAGCGCACATTTCGTGGTTTAAATGAGTCCAAATTCAAAATATGTCTTTCAAGTGTAGAAGTATTGTAATTTCCCTACTGTAGTGTAAAGCAAACATAATACACCTATGAAATATTCATTTTCATTTATTTTACAGTGCAATTGTTTTACAATATATGGCTATTACTGTCATTGTTATTATTCTATTCTAATGTGTTTGGCTTCCTCAAGCCCCAGTGTGAGAGTAATTTAGACTGAGACACTATATCATAAATAAAGTTTATGCAAGTCAATTCACTGACTTTTCTCTGACGTAAGTTTTCTTAGTTAAGAACATGGAGCTCTTAATTTTGAACTCTCAAACTGCATTAGACAGAATAATTTAACTTTAAAATGTAAAATCTTTTTCTCAAATTTTTCGTTTGTCTTTTTTTTGGTAATACCGTGATAAATCTTGCATCGTGGATTTCATATCGCAATATTATCGTATCGTAAGATTTTGATATTAGGACTATAAATAATTACATAATTAGCCTATTAAATAGAGTCTGGAGCAAGATTATTTAAAAACCTTGTGTGCTTTATGTATTCTGATCAATTAATTAAATCCCCTAATTAAGCTAAAACACATCATTTGAAAAATTTGCATTGCGCCCTGGTCATGGTAAAAAAAAACAAATAAAAAAAAACAAAGTTGTAGTGTGAGAATTCTGAGAAAATGTTTGAATTGTGAGATATAAAGTCACAATTAGATTTTTTTATTATATAAATCCATAGATTTTAGACACCGCAGCTGTCGCCGATGTCAACTTCTGATTCAACCAATAACGCGAGTTTGGGGGCGGGGCCATGTGTTTGACTGACCAATGACAGACGGGAGGAGTGTTCGGAGGAAAACCTGTCTGCAACAGTTATCGTTACAAATTTGTTTAGGTCACAAAACCCCACACACTTCATCAAGCGACTAAATGTTTATCATGGTTTACACAAACAGACATTAAGCTACACACTATAACCTGTTTTAGCTTTTCTTTAAAACAAAGGACACACGCTTTGATATTTAGATCATATGCAGTGTTCCCAAGACATAATATCCACATTTGTACACACGAATAAATGCTGAAATACTGTATAAACTGCTGCAGACAGCGATCAGTTCAGTCAATGCCAACACGAGTGATATGGAGCCATAGGTTAGTCGCTAACTAGTACTAGTTAGTAGCTCGTGGACGCGGGAGTCTGCCAGCAGCATTGCGAGTCAACAAACTCAGCTCGACTCAGAACAGAAGCCTGTGAAGCGATACAGACGCGCGTTGTTGATCACTCACCTCGATTAAGCTGTGATGCGTTGGGTCTAAGTCATTCCGGGCCGTTTGTGAGGTTTCTCGGCGGATTCGGTGCTTCTAACCGAAATGCCTCCCAAACCAACTGATCCGCCGCGCTCGGTGGCCACGTGACGTCACTCACCGCTCCCCGTTCGCGCTGTTTTTCTCACGGACCAATGGCGTGGCGTTCCGATGCGCCTTACTTCAGCGTTTTCTCATCGCATTCACCAGGAACAACTTGGGCAGTTTAACTATAGTGGAGTTATTCCTACAGTAAGTTACATTATTTATGTCTCACAGTCTTTTACAGTTAATTATATAAATCGCATTCGTTTTCTTTGATTATTACTAGGTTGTGTGTGAATTATTTAATAGTGCTGCGCTAACTTTTACGATAAAACCTGACAATTATTCCACTTGTTTCTTCTTTTTTTTTTCTTGTCGAAATGTTTGAAACAAAATATTTATCTTTTGTAAAATACCCGACTAAAAAAAATCCCCTTCCCTAGGTCCTCACGGAAGTGACGCAATCTCTTGGCGGGAAAACGGCGGTCAAACGTAAGCGTGATCTATATCGATTTGATTTGAAGAATTCTGAGATGTTTTGTGCTATTACTTGGTTTGTGTCTATAAAATATTAATCCAGTTTGATCGAGTTTGATAATATCAACATTCCGAAGCACGGTTAAAACCGACGAACTTCAAGTTGCCGTCCTCAGGTAAGATTCCTGTCAGTCATTCGCTGAGATATTACTAGCTTTAGCTCTTTATTTGTTTATTTATTTAATTTGTACTCTTTTGTTGGTTTTGACTGCTTCTGTTGTCATCGTTTGTAAGTCGCTTTGGATAAAAGCATCTGCTAAATGTACTTTTACTGTATAAATAATCAAGGTATAAAAAATCAAACTCAAGTTTATGATCTTGACCAAAGCTGATTATTGATGTTATAAATCATAATACACTTTAATATAGCATCTTTGTCATTGGGTTAAATGTCTTATTTTGATGACAGTGCTAACTAATACCAAGTTATCATAACTATTAATATTTTAGTGAAAAATTGTAAATTTGTCTGGAAGGGGTGGTAATATTGCTGGATAACTATAATATCATAATCACACAGAAAACAGCTGTTTTACATTCTAATAATATTTCACAATTTTACTGTATTTTTGATCAAATAAATGCAGCCTTGCTGAGCAGAAGAAAACAATTTTTTTTTTAATCGTAATTATTTCAAACTTTTGACTGGCAATGTGCGGTATTATAATTATTATTATAAAGTACTGGACTGCTTTAGTGCCTAAAACACAACTGAATACAATTAATTAGTACTTAATTGTAATTGAGATAGTTGTGAGTTAGATCAAGCAATAAAGAGACATGCACTGCGGTTGTGAGTGGGGGGCGGGGCAAGCTTAGGTCAGTGGTGGCCACGCCCCCTAGCTCCGCCCCGTCTACAAGCACCTTTGTAATATTATGTACAGTGCTGATCAAAGTTATTAGAACTATGCATATTTAAAGAGGTTTCCGTTGTTTTTGTTGAATTGGCCGTTACAATACCCATAAAACCAACTATTGCCGGAGCTACCTGCGACGGAAGGAATCTGCTGGAGAATGATGGACTGCAAAAAAAACATTCTCTTACTCAGTATTTCTGTCTTGTTTTCTAGTATAAATATCTAAACATTCTTGAATCAAGATGCATTTACTGTACAAGTGAAATGACCTAAGATAGTCTTGTTTTTTGTTAAAAAAAAATAATATTTTTGGTAGTTTTTCCTTAAAACAAGCAAAAATATCTGCAAATAATCATAAAAATAGTTTAGCCTTTCACTTGTTTAGCCTTTCAATTAAGATCATTTTTCTTACTCTCTTGGCAGATAGGCTAAATCATTTCACTTGTACAGTAAATGCATCGTGAATCAGGAATGTTTATATTTATACTAGAAAACAAGACAAAAACACTAAGTAAGAAAATCATTTTTTGCATCACTTATATTTTCAGATCTGTCAGGTGTTCTAATCATTTTGGCCACCACTGTACACTGAAAAAACAATCAGTAAAATGTACTTAATTTTTATTTTGCACGCATATTTTTAAAGTAAAATTTAAGTATGGAATTAAGTAAAATCTACTTAACCAAGTTAAGTAAAATTAGCAAAGGAAATAAGTAAATTTAACATGTTCAGTTAGAATTTGATGAGTAATTTCTACTTAATTATTTTAAGTTTACTAATCGTAAAGTTTACGTTAAGATTACTAGTTGTGATATTTTATATTTATTCATTTATATTTATATTATGTTGTTTAGTATAAAAATGTGATATTTTTTTTTTACAGTTGTGAAATTTATATGAAATAACACAAAAGGTTAAAATAAAGTTGCAACACAATGCACTATTTTGATGTTCTAAATAAATAATATCCTTTACTTTTAGTTTAATATAAGATATCCAAATGGTTTGTAACCTGATTAAAGAGCAATTTTACCAGATTAAACCTATAAATAATAGTTCTGTTGGTATGAATTAACGCATTTAGGTTGATTCGGTGATCCCAAATAATAATTTGATTTTAATAATTTGTTTTCAGTGTAAATAAGATTCATTTAGAGATTTACCATTGTTCAGTGTTAATTCATGTTTGTTTATGATGCATTCATGTTCATTTTTACAGCTTAAGATTGTCACATTGCAAAAAATATGAATTATTGTGCGATGTATTTTTTTCTTTTGATTTTGCTCTCTGTACGTCACCTGATGATTCTGTGGAATGATAATAAATATATGATAACTGATAATGAAGTGTTTGACAGTGTTGTGATGTATTCTCATGACTCTATAAATGCTGACAGACCAAAAATGAAAACGGCCGAGCGTAAAGGACACTTGCTGTAAAATGTCTTATGCTATCTTAAAAATAAAGGTTCTTCATTGGCATTGAAGATAATCTTTAACATCTATAGAATCTTTCAATTCCACATAAGGCTCTTTATATGGAAAAGGGTTCTTTAGATGATTAAAACCCTCATCCGTCCCTCGGGTCATTTTCACCCGAAACTGATTTTCAAAAAAATTCTAAAAATCGTGTTGATCGTACCGGTCCAAGATTTCTTTACTTTTGTCACACTTGCACCGGGAATACACAAAAAAAGTTAACAATGAACAAGAACAGTGAACAAGAGTGGAATCGAGGAGTTTAAAAGGGTGCAATAAAAAAAGTAACAAAAGTGTCCCTCGCAGGTCATTTTGACCCACATAGGAATGAATGGAATTTTTATTACATTTGATTTTTTTTTGATACACAAAATCTGAGACAATCCAGTAAAGATTTATACCCAAACGAAGGGCTGAGACTACAGAATATCCCCAATGCATAAAAAACTCACACACACACACACACACACACGGTACACACACTCCCATAGAACACATTATAATATGCTTCATGTTTCTGCTGGGATATGACTGTCATTTTTCCATTTTTTGACTTAACACAGTTAGATTTGAGTAATGTTTACAAACCGATAATTGGTCTATAGGCCCCTCTAACCATAAAATGCCATTTTATGTCATTTTTCCCCTCCAGATGGCATCAGAGACACTCAGTGACTCAATTCCAAGGCCATCTGTTGGTTTTTGATGAAACAGGACTGAAATTGTGCCTTTATTTGTTTTGTTTTTTTGGTGTAATAATGTACAAAAACTGCTTATTTGCTTATATTTTCTTAAAAATATCCAGAATAAAAGGTAAATATAATAAAAATCACCAAAAAATATTAGAAAAACCTACATAAATATTTAGAAAAATATACAGTATCTCACAGCAGTGAGTACACCCCTCACATTTTTGTAACTCACTACTTTACATTGTAGCAAAGTGTCATTTCTTCAGTGTTGTCACATGAAAAGATATAATAAAATATTTACAAAAATGTGAGGGGTGTACTCACTTCTGTGAGATACTGTATATAAAAATGGATCAATATAAGATTTCTGGACCAAAAAAAAAATGTGTGTCATTTTTAGCCTTTGGGTCATTTTGACCCGCGAGGGACACTTTTGTTATAGGTTCAGGAGGGACAGATGAGGTAATGTTGTTTACATTACAAAAAAATTAAAATTAAAATTAAAGTAGGGCTGGGCGATATGGCCAAAAAAATGATCACGATCATTTTTGTTAATATCAATAATTATCACGATAAATGTCAAATCTTTATTTCTTTCAAGTTTAAAGCCAGATTTTTGCTTAATTTTCCTAAACCAAATAAATATCTTAATAGAAAATGTTTTTCTTAGTGTCTGCATGTTCTAATGAGTGATATTGTTTCAAATCAAGAAACCGGTTTGTGTTGCCTGTCTGATAATATTAATAATAATATTACTTTTTTTCCCTTAGGAATGCACATTTGATAGTAGCTGGATGCAGATCTAAATTTTCAAAATCAGTAACAACTGTTAAAAATTGTAGCAACCTCGTTTTTATATGGTGAAAATAAGTTTAAATGAGTCACGCTGTTTCGCTTTTGGCGCATAAACATTATAACGAACATTTATTGAACTCTTGTTATTGTTTTATCAAGGAAAGTTATATCGCGATAATTATCGTTTTTTCGCCCAGCCCTAACTGAAAAAGGATTTCTTTGGGAATCAGATTTTTTTAAATTTTTTTTCAAATGGATTTTTAAGAGTGTTTGATTACAGAGATTCAGGTGTTTTGAAGTGTGACTCAAATGTCCAAATACTTCTGATGGATAAAATGTTTCACTTCTAAAATATGACTGAATCTCATTGACTCGAAGGTGTTGTGAAGTGACGCAGGATTTGGATTTAGACCGTGTGCCTTTAAATAGCATAAACCTCATCTTTCGTTGTTTCTCAGTTTAAGCACTAAACGGTACTCAGAGCCTTTCATTTGGAGTCACTTCTTTCTGTCCTGGCATTATTGTGGTCATATGCAAACATGTTTTTGAGTTGGTGCCCAAAGTGTCTTTTAGTCTTTAGTAAGTGCAGATCTGCTCTCTGGTTGAAAGTGAACGTGTGAGCGTTGATTTTCTGTTCATAACTTTGAGAGAGCATTCTGAGAATGTTTGCAGTTCCTTACAAAATCCCACAGATTTACACTGAAGGAGCGACGGAGAGCAGAAGAACCCAGATGTGAGATTGGACTCTTGTCACAGGAGACACACACTTGATGCTTTTCTTCAAAGCAGCTTTATATTTATATTAGATATTTGTCAAAAGCCAGCAGTATTCATACTGCATACACTATGCCAATAGAACCCATACGCAAGTGTACTACATAAATTTACATATATGAAATGTATTGTCATATTACATAAAAACAATGTCTATGAAACCTATTAGAACAATTTCATATTTCTAACCCATATATATGTGTAATACATCTTTGGACATATCTGTCATGATATCCATTATAAAATCCATCAATACATGTTGATATTATATTAGTAATTATAAAAGATAGACATGTATTTACAAAAATATAAAAAATACTATATTTATATATACTATATAAATACATATACTGATTTTTAATAAAGTTCCACATATAAAATGCATATTGTTGACACGTATATATAAAAAAATTGTAGCTACTAACATGTGTCCAACAGGCAGTCAGGTCTAGATTTGTATCTGTTGGTATTTGATAGAATCCATAATGCATGCATCTGAACAAGACGTCCAGGGCCTCCGGCAGAAAAACAGGCTCATTAAAGATCCAGCAGTGTATTTAACTGTGAGCATGGGCTACTTTTATCCCGGTTTGTACTAAACACAATAGAATTTTTGTGAATTATTATTTTTTTTTGAATGAAAGCTCAAAACGATCAACGATGTGGATTTATTTTCAAAATGTTTTCATTCATGAATTATACAAATGTAAGCTTGGATAGTGCACTTTCACGTCTATGTTCAAACATGTGAGTGACAGTTAAGGGGTTAATTCTTCGTGGCACAGATTCAACAAGGTGCTGGAAACATTCCTCAGAGATTTTGGTCCGTATTGACATGACAGCATCACGCAGTTGCTGCAGATCTGTCGGCTGCACATCCATGATGCGAATCTCCCGTTCCACCGCATCCCAAAGGTGCTCTGTTGGATTGAGATCTGGTGACTGTGGAGGCCATCGGAGTAAAGTGAACTCATGGTCATGTTCAAGAAAGCAGTCTGAGATGATTTGAGCTTTGTGACATGGTGCATTATCCTGCTGGAAGTAGCCATCAGAAGATGGGTACACTGTAGTCATAAAGGGATGGACATGGTCAGCAACAATACTCAGGTAGGCTGTGGCATTTAAACGATGCTCAATTGGTACTAAGGGGCCCAAAGCGTGCCAAGAAAATCTCCCCCACACCATTACACCAGCACCAGCAGCCTGAACCGCTGAGACAAGGAAGGATGGATCCATGCTTTCATGTTCTTTACGCCAAACTCTGACCCTACCATCTGAATGTCACAGCAGAAATCCAGACTCATCAGACCAGGCAACGTTTCTCCAATCTTCTATTGTCCAATTTTGGTGAGCCTGTGTGAATTGTAGCCTCCGTTTGCTGTTCTTAGCTCCCGGTGTGGTCTTCTGCTGCTGTAGCCCATCTGCTTCAGGGTTCGACGTGTTGTGCGTTCAGAGATGGTATTCTGCATACCTTGGTTGTAACGAGTGGTTATTTGAGTTACTGTTACCTCTAACCAGTCTGCCCATTCTCCTCTGACCTCTGACATCAACAAGGCATTTTTGTCCACACAACTGCCGCTCACTGGATATTTTCTCTTTTTTGGACCATTCTCTGTAAACCCTAGAGATGGTTGTGCGTGAAAATCCCAGTAGATCGGCAGTTTTTGAAATACTCAGACCAGCCCGTCTGGCACCAACAACCATTCCACGTTCAGTCACTTAAATCCCCTTTCTTCCCCATTCTGATGCTCGGTCTGAACTCCAGCAAGTGGCCTTCACCACATCTAGATGCCTAAATGCATTGAGTTGCTGCCATGTGAATGGCTGATTAGCAATTTGTGTTACCAAGCAACTGAACAGGTACCTAATAAAGTGGCCGGTTAGTGTATATGGCAATATCATCTTTGATATAGTGCAATATATGTCATAAATTACATTATCGTATAGGAAGCAGCAACTGTTCGTTTAACAGGGTTTAGCTTGTATAGTTTTGTTGTCTAATGCAGTGATATTCAGACGTTTATAAGTGCTGGTTACTTTAGAGAGACCGAGCAATGATGTGTAGTTGTGTTTCGGGTGTTCAAACACTCTGTGTCTGTTGCATGTCGCGGATGTTTTTATCATCTATCGCGATGCGTACGACGCAGGAGCCCCGAAGCGTGCGCGCGTTATAACGCGCGACAATTATTGACGCCGAATGTGATGCGTACTGTACGCCGCCGAGCGTGCTCTCCTGATTGGATGAGGATCAGCATGTGTGCGTGTTATTGGTTCGCGTGAAGTTCAGCGCAGAAGCAGGAAGCGAAACAGCAGCACCTGACGCGCAAACACCCGCGGGACCGCGACGCGTTGAACTGGTGAGTGTTCGCGCACAGAAACACGCGTCTCATCGCGCGCTCCGCGAACGCGTTTGATCTCCGCACGCAAATCTTGCGTCGCGGTGACGCGAGCCATAACTTGATAGCGCGCAGCAGAGCGTGTTTTAACGCCACCGATGCTGCTGCTGAGGAAGTGCGTTGTTTCTGAAGGAGGGCGTCAGGCCTCTCGCGTTCTAATAAACAACAAACACCGCGACGACGTCACGAACTAATAAGCGGCGTGACGTCACGACCGTAGCGCCAGGTTCGGCGTCGAACTTTAAATCCTCTCCGTGACGTCAGGATTCACGCCGACAGCAGAGCACGTGTTAGCTTGTTTTCAAAAGGTTGAAGATCAGGTGTAACTGAAGGGTTGCAGGTTCGAAGAATATTTCTGACCCTGGAGCACAAAACCAGTCATAAGGGTCAATTTTTTAAAATTGAGATTTATGCATCATTTGAAAGCTGAATAAATCATCTTTCCATGGATGTGTGGTTTGTTAGGATAGCACAATATTTGAAAATCTGGAATCTGAGGGTGCTAAAAAATCTAAATATTGAGAAAATCATCTTTAAAGTTGTCCAAATGAAGTTCTTATTCTTCAAAATATCTTCATGGAACATGATGTTTACTTAATATCCTAATGATTTTTGGCATAAAAGAAAAATGTATAATTTTGACCCATACAATGTATTGTTGGCTATTGCTACAAATATACCCCAGTGACTTAACACTGCTTTTGTGCTCCAGGGACACAGATCGGTTGCTCGAGACACCTACACGAATTCATATTCTTGCTGAATTCTGAGCTTTATGCTACTGCCATAGAAACATATGGCAAAAATAGTGAGAGTAGTATTTGCTTCCAAATTCAGCATCTGTGATTATTCATTCACCTTCATGCTATTAGAAACACATATGTTGCACAAAGTGATGTTTTGAACAGTCTCAGGCGCTCCAGCAAGAGTGAACGGGCGAATAGACTGCTGAACTATAGAAGCCATCAACAACACATCATGACATGACTGGTGCTCTATTGGTGCGCTCAGGTTATGTCGGAAAGATGGCTTTTACAACATGAACGCTACAACAAGTCGAGAAAACAAGTCAAATGCATCATCTGCATTAACAGTACATTTGTTAAATTGAATGAAATGTGTCTTTTACAATAAGATTATGCTAAGTTGTGATAAGTTATGATAAGCAAAATATAGTGTTGTACAGTTACAATAGAATATGTAACAATTACATTTATAGAACCTTCATAAATTGCTGAATAAATTCATGCATATTTTGTAAAAGTAGCATTAAAAAATCGTGCAGATTTTTTGTAGAAATGGTGCATTTCTATCTTCACGTCATCGTCAGCGCAGTTCTCCTCCAATAGAGTCTGTGCTATCAGCTTTCACAATTTCCACTGAGAAAATAATAGTAAACACGTTTGGAATGGCATGAGAGTCCGTAACAGAATTAACAGAATTCAGGTTATTTTTCAGGGTGAACTGTTCTTTAAATGTTAGTGCTGTGTGACATTATTAGCACAAATAGCTGCAGAAAACGATGTTTGAATGTAATCAGTTTCTGCGGGTCTTAAATCGTCTTAAATCGGAGCAGAAAGTCTTAAATTTGCTTTCTTAAACCCTGCAGAAACCCTGTTCTTACTAAAAGCTGTGATTTGTGTCTTGTTCATAATAACGTGAGATCCTCTCTATCCCGCAGCTCTTCTCAGGAAGCATGTGATGACCCATGCTCGGAAAAACGCTTCCATTGGCCGGTATCGCGGCGAGGGGCGGGGCCACGTAGAAAGCTGGTCACATGGTGAAACAGTGGGCGGAGCCTGGCCTGCGCATTCATCGCGAGAAGGCAAGGCCAAGAAAGTCAAGGAGAGTCAATGTTTGGCAAAACGTTCAATGAAAATGCATGAAAGTAAGACTAAGAAAGGAAAGTCCAATGTGACGAGTGAGCGCCATCGGAAGCTCTACCCATTACGAGGAAGAAGCGAGGCCTTGAGTTGTCACGTATTGCTCACTCGTCTAGATAATGAGACCAAGACGTGTGAGGTGGATCCCAACAGAGATCCAGAACACAAAAAGACAAAAAAAGCCCACAAGAAAGCAGAGAAAACCAGGGAGCCATTGCAGAAACGCCTCAAAACCTTTGATAAACCTTCAGCTCAGGAGCCACGCAAACGTAGACTAGCGTCGCTCAACGCCGAGGCGCTCAACAGCCTTCTGCTTGAGAAAACCGACGGGCCGCCAGGTGCCAAGCCCACGAAGAAACAAACCACTACAGAGCAAACGAAAACCTGCTCCAAAAGAGCCAGAAAGTCCGAGACGTGCCAAAACCCCAAGGCGGATGAGGCTGGAGTGAGTTTGTACGCTCCTGTTCCCCGACGCTTGGCTGGACTCAACGCCGCCGCGCTGCTGAAGCTCACCAGCTCGACTGCAGACAAGCACAGGACCAGATCTGACAAACCCAAAGCAGCGCAGAAGTCCAAGAAACCGCAGCCGGAATCGCAAGGCGCCTGCGAAGTGTGCAAAAGCAGGAGCTTGGAGTCAAACCTGAGTCCGGAGAGCCACGGCTTGAGTAAACCCGGATACCAGAGCATGCTGGGATACCGTCCGGTGACGCTGGTGAAGGAGGAGCTGAGTCCGTGTTTCTGCTGTCCGCCGGAGTATCTGGCGCTCTTCCTTGGCGAGGAGCACCGGGTCAAGCACGAGTGCCTGGTTCTGTGCGCCGAGCCCTGCTGCTCCAGCTACTACGTCCACATCGCTCACCCCGGGCCGAGTCTGAGCCGGATCCCACACCCAGCCTTCTGCTGCCGCCGGGCCTGTCGGGTCGGAGGATTCGCCTTCAGCACCGTGCAGCCCGTCGCCAGCCGGACCTGCTCCTTCTCCAGCTGCAGCCGTCCCATTAAAACAGGTGATGATGTGTTGCTGCACCATATCACCAACCTAATGGTTCGACAAGACCATGTCTTGAACATTGGGGGGAGCCAACTTTCATTTATAAATGTGACCCTGGAGCACAAAACCAGCCATAAGGGTCAATTTTCTGAAATTGAGATTTATGCATCATCCATTGATGTATGGTTTGTTAGGATAGGACAATATTTGGCTGAGATACAACTATTTGAAAATCTGGAATCTGAGGGTGCAAAAAAATCTAAATATTGAGAAAATCATCTTTAAAGTTGTCCAAATGAAGTTCTTAGCAATGCATATTACTAATCAAAAATTAAGTTTTAATGTATTTACGGTAGGAGATTTACAAAATATCTTCATGGAACATGATCTTTACTTAATATCCTAATGATTTTTGGCATAAAAGAAAAATCTATAATTTTGACCCATACAATGTATTGTTGGCTATTGCTACAAATATACCCCAGCGACTTAAGACTGCTTTTGTGCTGCAGGGACACAAATATATATATATACTGTATATAAGTTCCCAAGAAGACTTTCTTTAAGCCTTGAGTTTCCGTGTTGAGGAGCATAAGGGATGCAGCGTCTGTATTGATGGTAATTTGGTGAAATTAATGATTTTTTCCCCCATATACAATAAACCTAAGTTGCATGAACAAAATACCATTGAATACCAAATACTAGAATATGTAGCAATTCAATTTACAGAACCTACATAGAAACATAAAAAAGCTTAAACGCACAATTGGCATTCTTTATTCGTCATTTTGTAGAAGTTGAGTTTAAATAAACTTCTTGCTGAAGTTTTGTTAGAAATAGTACATTGCCATCTTGCTCCCACCAGTGTGACTTAAACGACATGATGTCGTAATTACGACTTCCCAAGAAGACTTGTACACACCAAAACTCATAAAACTCAGGCACCCTCCTGTCAGATGCATGTGCTGTTTAATGCATTTGACACATGTTTCCTCAGCGCATAACTTGCATCTTACATCCTTATCTTTAAATGTTAGAAATTAATGCAAGTTTCCGTTTTGCTTGAAGGTTCATCCTGACAGCAAATGAGTCTTTTTGTTGCAATTCTGACTAAAATGTGCATTATTTTGCATTAAAAGATGCAAGCATTTCAACAACACCATAAACTGCAGCTAGACTTTTTATTTAAAGACAGAGCCATAGTTTATTCCATAAGCCAAAAAAATGCTATTTTTTTGTTTTTCTTCCTGCTGTTCCATAAACACACCGAAACTTGACTTTAAAATTGAGATGCATGCTTTTAATGTAGTATTACACCCCTATTGTGCTGTTTTAGAAGACGAGCTCGTTCCCCCGGCCGTCCCGCGTCTTCTGTCCACGATGTCCGACCGCAGGCAGGCCGAGGTCAGGCTTCAGATGGGCAAAGAATGCCCTCAAAACACCACACCATCCCACGGCTCGCTCACTGTGGGCCACAGCAGATCCTCCCAGAAACACCCCACAGCAAGTGCCGAACAGCAGAGGCAGGCCACGAACGGATGGCGTCCCGTCGGAGTCCCCACGGAGAAGGAGGTGTTTACTGCGGTGAGTGATTGAAGGACTGGAGACTCGTTGAGCAGATCTGTACAATAACCTGTCTCCACTCAACACTCACTATCTTCTTATTATTCCCTCTGTTGTTTTGCACATTCCCTTTCACGTTTCTGCCTCCTGATGCCATTTGCACTGTTACGGTCACTGGCCATATATAAACACATGTGAGAACAAAACAAGTCATGAGGGTCAATTTTGTGAAATTTTAGATTTATGCATCATCTGAAAGCTGAATAAATAATCTTTCCATTGATGTATGGTTTGTTAGGATAGGACAATATTTGGCTGAGATACAACTATTTGAAAATCTGGAATCTGAGGGTGCAAAAAAATCTAAATATTGAGCAAATCATCTTTAAAGTTGTCCAAATGAAGTTCTTAGCAATGCATATTACTTAATATCCTTCGCACCTTATGTTGTATTTACAGTTATTTGCATTTAGCTTGTCTCTGCCCTTCTACACATATTTTATATTTATATACTTTAAGTGCACTCCTGGTTAGATGCTAACTGCCTTTCATTGGCTCTGAACTCTGCACAACGACAATAAAGTAGAATCTAATCTAGAAACGTAAAGTGGATGCAGTGTCAGTCTCAGCTGTGACGGATGTGCTTCTGCAGGGCGATGACGAGACGGTTCTCCGTCAGTGTTATGAAGGAGTGGAGCGTGAAGGAGAGGTGATCAGGGTGCGAGACACGGTGCTTTTACGGTCCGGACCCCGCAAGAAATCCCTGCCGTACGTGGCCAAGATCTCCGCTCTGTGGGAAGACCCCAGAACAGGTGAAAAAGATGAAGAATCGTCATTTAAGTGCTTTATTGCTCACTAAGAAAAGAAAAGAAAAGAAGCATTCTCTTAAATACAAATGTGTTCATTTCTGTCATGTGTTCATTAACACCTTCGTGCAGTTCTTTGCTCCATGTTTAACCTGCTCTTGTTGTTTGTGTAAATGCAATCAATCATTTTTGTTGCGTTAACAGAAACTAGACGGCGAATTTGTGCTGCTCCCAGCATGCTTTGCATGAATCTTATGACATGAAGTGTTATTTTTAGTGTTTTTTTGGGGGGCGGAATGACGGTAGTGTTTAATTTGAATGAATGAGATCCTGAGTTGTGTGGCCTGATCTGTGTTGTTTCAGGAGAGCTGATGATGAGTCTGTTCTGGTATTATCGTCCTGAGCACACGCAGGGCGGCAGAGATCCCAGCATGCACTGCGAGGTCTGCTCTTATTACATTTAGTCATTCAGCAGATGCTTTTATCCAAAGCAACTTACAAATCATGACAATAAAAGCAATCAAAACTAACAAAAGAGCAATCATTTTATATATTAATAAATAATAATAATAAAAATATTACTGCTGCTCATGCGCAGGGTTAGTGAGAGATGAGAGGGTTACTTTTAAAAGTAACGCATTACAATATTCCGTTACTCTCTAAAGAAGTAACTAATTGCATTACTTAGTTACTTTTCATGCATTGTGTTACTTTTGTGTTACATTTTCTCATCTGGCCTGTGTTTGCCTGCTTGTTTTTATTATAAGAAGTTGGCAAAATGTAAAGCCCTTTCACATCAAAAGTGAAGTGAATGAACCTCAGGCTGAAGGAAATGTAAATCTAAAGTCTTATTAGTTTGGTTGAATTGAATCAGCCGGAAAAACACTGGTTGATAAAGTGGGATTAAATACATAAATGATATTTGTGTAATGTAACATTTAATTATTGTAGGTTTGTATAATATTCTGAGTTTGCATTTGACTGTTTTTATTGATTGTGAGGAACACTGAATGTGTTTGTGTGCAGTGAGATGAGTAAACACATGTTGATATTTAGTCTAGAACTACAGTAAGATCATGTTCACACACAACGCTCTGCACTTACTCCTGATTTCTGTCACCATGGCAACACCAGAGCTGTCACTCAACACATGGAAACAAAGTAACTCCGATTCTTCTAGATTAAAAGATAATGCGTTACTTTACTAGTTAGTTGAGCGAGTAATCTGACTGAGTAACGTGTGTTGTGTTATTGTAGCAGCCACAGCACTGCATCATGATGTTGCTGGAGTAAATCCGTCTTCTTTCAGAACGAGATCTTCGCCTCCCGTCATCAGGATGAGAACAGCGTGGCCTGCATCGAGGACCGCTGCTACGTTCTGCCGCTAGCACAGTACTGCAGGTCAGACTTGTGTCTTATACACACATTAATGTTGTAAACTGATGTGTTTTAGTTTTTTGAGGAGGGTGCTGCTGTCGGGGGTGTCACAATATAACTACGTCATCATTAGGGTTGCCAATTAACTTCAGAAATGGAAAATAAAGAACAATTGTGATTCTTTATAAGAAAATAAGGGACAGAATCAGTGTTGGGTCTAACTAGTTACTAAGCAGTAGTTTTCCCTTGAAAAAGTAAAGGAAGGGATTACTCTTATGTTTTCTGTAATTTAATAACAGTCACTTATTATGTAATTGAACTTAATACTGTGTATAGACTGTAGAAGATTCATATACAATACAGTAGTGGATTTAACATAAAAATGTAGTCTAACCTTAAAATGCATGCTTTTATCTACCCTTCTCACTTTAAATACTTTGGTGAGTTAATGAGAATATTGGTAACACTTTAGTGTCCAATTCTCACTTTTTTTTTTCCACAAATTTAAGATATTTAAAAATGTTTGTTGCATTGTTAAAAAAAATGCTACTCGTATAAAATTGCATTGTACAAATATTAAATGTAACGATAAAATAACGTTATTAACCAGTTAATGGCCATTTCAAATTTCGATCAAAACTATACAAATTTATTTTTTTTCTGTTCCTGTCAAAATATCGTTCGTTTCTGGTTTTGTTTTCGTTCCTTGAGTCGGTTCAGAGCCCTGGTAAGCAGTAATTAGCAGTATGTTGAGGCAAAAGTCATAGTTAATAGTGAGAATTGGACTCTAATCTAAAGAGTGAGCAGAATAATTGATGTAGTTCCTTGAAAGAATTAAAAGAAGCGTTTCATGTCTATCCTTGCATCATTAACTCGTCGAGATTGATACAGGATTTAGAAAGTAATTAGTCATTTTTTACTTTTTTAGAGAGAGTAATTCATACAGTAATCTAGGGATGCACCGATATGAACATTTTGGCCGATACCGATAACTGAGATACCGATAACAGAAAAAATGAGCATTTATCGGCCGATACCGATATGGTGGCCAATATATCGTGCATCCCTACAGTAATCTAATTACACTGTTGAAGATGTAATTAGTAACTAGTAATTAATTACTTTTTTAGAGTAACTTACCCAACACTGCCTACAAGTTTTTTTTTATGTATATTTGAAGAGTTTATTTGCAAAAACAGATAACTCCGTTTTTTGACATTTTCAAAAATCATGTTTTTTATCATGTAATCATGTTTTTATTGGGTTAGTTAGCTGTATTTTTGAACCTAATCAAAATAACCCAACTGCAGTTTGATTGAGATTAATTGGAATGCACAATGAAAATTGAAGTTATCTGTTTTTGCAAATGAACTCTTCATTTTCTCTCTATTTAACAGCATTAACTTACAATCTATGTTGTTAGAAGCACTATATAAATGAAGGTGACTTGACAGTGGCGTGTGATGTCACAGATTTTGTGCCTTGCTGAAGCAGCGCTCGGAGGGCGTGTCCGACCACGCCCCGCTGATGCCCCGCCCCTCCGACAGTGCTGGCCCCGCCCACCGCCTGGTTCCCGACGGCGTGGATCCGCGGCTGGTGTATCTGTGCAGACACGTCTACGACTTCCGCTTCGGACGCATCCTCAAGAACCCGCAGTGAAGCTGTGCGCTGAGGATGAATCTGCCTTTCCTCCTCCTCCTCATCCGCTCGCTGAAGCTTTGCCATGCACACTGGACTGTCACACTGCTGAGGGAGGATGAAGAAGCTCCAGAGGATCCAGAATGCTTTCATAAAATATTTCACAAGATCAAGACTAGACCGCAGATCCAGATTAAAGGTCCGTTCACACTAATGACGATATAACCATAACTATAATCGCTGTCGTTTAATGAAAATATTGAGTTCCAACCACAACTATGACAACACAGATGAACTATATGTGTCCCTGCAGCACAAAAGCAGTCTTAAGTCGCTGGGGTATATTTGTAGCAATAGCCAACAATACATTGTATGGGTCAAAATTATACATTTCTCTTTTATGCCAAAAATCATTAGGATATTAAGTAAAGCTCATGTTCCATGAAGATATTTTGTACATTTCCTACCGTAAATATATCAAAACTTAATTTTTGATTAGTAATATGCATTGCTAAGAACTTCATTTGAACAACTTTAAAGATGATTTTCTCAATATTTAGATTTTTTTGCACCCTCAGATTCCAGATTTTCAAATATTGTCCTATCCTAACAAACCATACATCAATGGAAAGATTATTTATTCAAATCTCAATTTCAGAAAAATGACCCTCATGACTGGTTTTGTGCTCCAGGGACACATATCGTCTAAATGATAAACAATAAAAACATCAGACTTTAAAGAGTTTGAGCATTTAAAGTGACAAGACAACAAAACTGCAGCACGTGCTTATAATAAACAAAACAATAACGTCCGCTGAATGATATGATTTTTCGAAGTTATAAATAAAACCGATTATTGTAGCACGCGTTACGAGAAAATACACTTTCAGTCTTTTTACTTCTAAATGTCTCATTTAATTCAATGTGTCACTTGCTGTTTCTTTGTAATTACTTGTAAAATGTATTAGCAATTTCTGAGTGAAATTTGTTTCAAATTAAGTCCTACACCAATTTGTTTTTTCAGTGTATAGTTATCGTGGTGTGAGCGGGCCTTACGAGTGTCTGGCTTCTGTTCAGCACAAAAGAAGATACTTTGAAGAATGTTGGAAACAAACACTTGACGGCAGCCATTGACTTCCATAGTATTTTTCTACCGTCGTGTAATTTTTGGGTGAACTGTCTCTTTAAGGGCGTGTTTGTGTGATGCTCAGCTGATGTTCTTCGTTTTGCTCTGATTATCAGTCGTCAGATTGAAGCTCACGCTCAAAGTGTCTTGTAGCTTTTGTAAAGGATTCATTTAGCCTCTTTCTCTGAAATCTGACCAAACGAACCAAAGGACAAAACATTCATCAGCTGAAGTGTTTCGCCTGATTTGTAAGGAGATCTGTGTTTTATATGCATGAAATTAACGTCTCTAGAATGCACAAATATATTTTAATATTCATTTGACGAACCGACGCCCCTAGAGAAATTGCACTATTACATTCCCTTTTCCTACGAATTTTAACTCTATTTTTTAGATGCAGAGCTTTAATTGGATCAAATCAGCTTCATTTGCTTCGTCTAGACAGCGTTATATGGTTAGTTGCATCTCATTATTAGTGTTTAATATAGTTTTTCTTCACCTGCTCTTCATGAGAGACGCACCTGTTTAGTAGCACCGTAACATAAATGTGTTTAGATTGAAATATTAGATGCTAAATATATGTATTACAGTGGATTGTGAATCTGAAATCCAGTCTAGAAGCACCTCTGATGAAGTCGGACCAGTAGAAACCTATTATTTTCATTGAACAGACGGTTTTGACGGCGGGTGAGTTATTTCTACGAGATACTAGTTATTACTAGATATTTTATTAACCCTGTTTCTACAGCTGGAATATGCAATATATTTGTAGGACTATTTTTGAGAAAACAAATCTATTTAAATTGCTGTTATTTTCTCTGATTTATGATCTGAGTTACTGATACATATCGTAATTAACGAGGAACGGCAGGCCATCTGTAAACGAGCTTATGAAGCCTTACACAGTACATCTAGCATACTTTGGAGACTTGTAATTGTATTTAAAGAAAGTATTTAAAACGGAGTATAAGCATATATCTATATTTCAAGTCCTCATAGTTTAACAGTGTTTTGAAGTGCTGCTGCAATATTGTGCTCAATATTAAGTGCAGTAGATTTATTATTATCTCTGTTTTGTGTTCAATTATGAGTATCATCACATCATGAAGTCTTAACGAGCTCTTCATTCAGACGAGGTTAAATGGAGTTTCAGACCGCGGTGTTTTTCTGAAGTTCAAAGAGAAGGTGTGAATATTTGTTATCTGATGTCTTTATTTTGTCCCTCTTTTTCATTTGTTTGTTTGTTTCTTGATGGCTGATTATTGTTCAATGAAAGAGTATTTATAAAACATAAAAAGTCTTTTGTGAGTCCTGTTTGCTGATTCTCCTGATGTTATAAAACACTTATTTTAAAGCAATAAGCCATGTGTAACAGCATTTTGTTTTTAAATAATTGAGATACTATTAGTTTTTATTAATTTTTTGATTTAGTTTTTATTGTTAGATTTACCCTTTTCATTTTAATTTGTTATTTGTTATTTTTTGTAGTTTTTCCTTTTTTTTCTCAATGTGTCTATATTGTTCTTATTTTTATTTCAGTTTCAGTTTGTTATTTTATTAGATCAAGTTAAACTCAATTAAAATGAGAAAATGAGCCTTGACCACTAGTTGAAGTCATATTTTATTTAATTTCAGTTAGTGTTGTCAAATGATTAATCACGATTAATCACATCCAAAATAAAAGTTTTTGTTTGCCTAATATATGCGTGTACTGTGTATTATGCATATATGAATACACACACATACAGCATATATTTTGAAAATATTAACATGTATTTACATGTATATATTTATATTCATATAAATTATATCATATTAATATATTTAATATATAAACGTAACATATTTTTCTTAAATATATACATGCATGTGTGTGTATCTATATATACATAATAAATATACACAGTACACACACATATATTATGTAAACAAAAACATTTGTTTTGGATGCAATTAATCGCGATTAATAATTTGACAGCACTAATTTCAGTAAATGTTTAGTTTTTTCACGTAACATTTTTTTAATGATTTTAGTTCATGTATGAGCTCAAGTGGTTTATTGCTTTTATGGAAGGACAGCATGTTTAATGCTTAATTTAGTGACTGATGTCAAGTTTAATCTCTGACCTTCATGTTGAAATGTGTTCATTATTTTTGCTGCTTCAGTCCTGCTTTGCTCTCTGTGTCCAGCAGATGTCAGTATTCAGTGACGCCTGTGTGCGTGTGTGCGTGCGTGTGAGTGTCTGCGGGTGTGTGTGTGTCAGTGTCAGTGTCTGTGTGTGTGTGAGTGTGTCTGTGTTTATGGAGTCTGTGTGTGAGTGTGAGTGAGTGTGTCTGTGTGTGTGTGAGAGTGTGTCTGTGTTTATGGAGTCTGTGTGTGAGTGTGAGTGAGTGTGTCTGTGTGTGTGTGAGAGTGTGTCTGTGTTTATGGAGTCTGTGTGTGAGTGTGAGTGAGTGTGTCTGTGTGTGTGTGAGAGTGTGTCTGTGTTTATGGAGTCTGTGTGTGAGTGTGAGTGAGTGTGTCTGTGTGTGTGTGAGAGTGTGTCTGTGTTTATGGAGTCTGTGTGTGAGTGTGAGTGAGTGTGTGTGTGTGAGTGAGTGAGTGTGTGTGTCTGTGTGTGTGAGAGTGAGTGTCTGTGGAGTCTGTGTGAGTGTCTGTGAGTGTGAGTGAGTGAGTGTGTGAGTGTGTGTGTGAGTGTGAGAGTGAGTGTGTGTGTGAGTGTGTGTGTGTGTGTCTGTGTTTATGGAGTCTGTGTGTGAGTGAGTGTGCGGGTGTGTGTGTGAGTGAGTGTGTGTGTCTGTGTCTGTGGAGTCTGTGTGTGAGTGTCTGTGAGTGTGAGTGAGTGTGTCTGTGTGAGTGTGTCTGAGTGTGAGTCTGTGTGTGTGTGCGTGCTCTCTCTGATGGTGTGACTGCGCTCTGCTGCAGGTCAGTACTCAGTTACTCAGTGAGTAGAATCACAGTGTTTATGGACTCAGGCGTGTGTGTTCATGCGTCTCGTGTCCTCACACACGTGATTGAGCTCTGATCCTCTTTAAGGATGGAAGCAGACAAGACAGGATTGCTGTTGAATATGGATTAATCAGAGCTGCTCCACATTCACACCAATGACTTTCATATTCCTGCTGCTTCCTGGAAAGAAAAACCTCATGATTGTCATCATAAACCAATCAAAATCTGCAGCTCACAGTACAAAAACATGAACTTTTATTAATATGGATTACTGACGAGACTCCTGTCATTTATTGCCCCAGTTAGACAGAATAAACCAGAGTTTCAGAACAACATATCTTAATAATATTTAGTGTATATATGTTGATAATGTAACCATAGGCCAAGTTTATGATTTTATGATGCAGTTATTTCATACATGGAGAAGAAATTAACTTGTTATGAGATGCATGAATATGTAACTATGATTATGAATGTGCAGCATTGACAGAATGAGATAATGAACATTCGGCGCTCTGATGAATATTACTGATACGTCAGCAGCTCTTCATCTAATTATGAATTGTGAGTGTGTGCGAGTGTGTGTGCGTGCGTGTGTGTGTGTGTGTGTGTTGTGTGTGTGTGAGTGAGTGTGAGTGTGTGTGTGTGTGTGTGTGTTCAGATGATTGACAGCATCTCTCTCTCTGCAGGACTGCTGCTGGAAGCTGTAAAGACACTCTGAGCACTAAAGTGAAGACGAGCATCAGCTCCTGCAGGAAAGCGCTGGAGATGTGAGTAAAAGCTGCATGTTCTGAAACTCCTGCAGTCTTCAGTAACTGACCTCAGTGTCTCCTTCACAGCAAACCAAAGGAAACAGCTGCCGGAAAAATAGGTGAGATATATATATATATATAAAAATTGGAGATTAATTCGATTAATTAATCAGCACATCATGTATTTAATTAGATAAAAAAATTTGAATAGCTTGAGACCCCTACAAACATTTATATTTCAATAAAACACCAATACATTTCTAAAACATTAACTAAAATGAAAATGCAAAATATAAAAATAAAAAATTCTAAATATTCACATATATTCATTATTCAATATTCATATTATGTCAGTGATACTAAAATAACACTGGTTTAACATGAGTTTCTGTGAAACCGCTACACTAAAAAATGCTGGGTTGTTTCAACCCAATGCTGGGTCAAATATGGACTAACCCAACTGTTGGGTTAAAAAGTTAATTTAAAAATGTAACCAAAATTTAACCCAACAGTTGGGTTAGTCCATAT